CTTTCTGATCTTTCTGCAGTTCCACAAATTTGTGATTATCTACATCTTTTCATTGCTTTTTTCAGTTGGTATCATGTTTAATTTTAATCAAAACAGACATACAGTAGGTTGGGTGATATAGAAGTATGGGAGTAGCCATTTAACCCATAATACAATAATATGGAAATTTGGTATTTCTGAGTATTTAATAATGTTTTGATTGCAGCATAATTTTATCTTTTTTGTTACAATAAGCTGTTACTGTATGTAGTATACATTGGGAAGACAAGAACACAGTTTAATGCCTAGTAGAAAATGAAGAACAAATCTGGCTATAGGGTGTCCCAGTTTAATATCTCAATGTTCAACATTGTTTGAAATTGTTATTAATTGAGTTACTCCCCAATTAGCAACGTTAAACATTAAAAGTCCCCCAATTAACAAAAAATAATTACTTCTAACCCAGAACCACGGGAAGTAAGTGGATTTTGCATTGTCATCTTAACTATGTCATAACCATAGCATTTGAGTTGCTCATTCTTATTTCTTAGTCTTGTACATGTTTATCTTGAAATTGCTCTGTAATCCATAAAATCATTATTGGAAGGAGAAGTGTTAAGTGAGAGTATTGAGAGGTGCTGATGACAAGAGAAAGTGTCTCAGGATTGGTATTATGTACTGCATGTCTTATGTTTAATATGGATATTTCAATGATTAAGTATTTGTGATTGTTTTAAAAGATATTTAGATTTTTTTAATGCTGTTTGATGGGTACATGACAATGTTTGTCAAAACACTTTAATACACATGATTTTTAATACATTTCCATGATACAGTATGTTAATTTAAGCGATGGTTGCAAAAGTATTGATGCACTTTACAGTATGTACAGTAACTGTACAGTAAATGTTTAAGTTTAGGAGTGAAACTGCTATATTCCATCACATCTAGTTGAACAATCATGCCCGTTTCGGTTGTCATTAGCATGGTTTACATCCTTATGGTCCCTTTCTTTTCTTTTGGTAGAAAAGCCCCAGGTTACTGTCGTTTTGTTTAGCTTTCTGGTCCCTAATCACAAAGCTAGACGAGGACCTTCTGTATTTTACTGTAATGTACCGAAATATCAGTTTGTTTTTGCTTTCATAAAGGAAACAATTTCATGTTACCAAGAACCTAGTTTTCCATGGAAATTGTTCATATGTGTAAGTACAGATGTGTTACTCTAGGTTATTGTGAGATTGTCTTCAGACTGCTGTAGCAGCATACAGTACATTACTGCAGGCCTGATTTACAGGTATAGAGTATAGAGATAATACAAGGGGACAAACAATATTGTTTTGTTAATGTTATCCCTATCACTTAATGACACCTATTTTGATGTCTGAGAATTATATGCATTAGTACATGAGAATCTGGTTCAAAGTGTGTATTACATCTACTAAATTGGCAAACCTACTGTACAAAGAGAAAATAGTGCATTCAGTGCTGATTTTCAAAAGGCTTAGGCTGGGATCCATAATATGGTTGAATTAATAACTGCCAGTAGCTCGATAAACATGTTTAGATGATAAGAGACTTTTCCAAATTGTTTTTGCCATTATGTGTGCCTGTTGCCTTTGATGGCTGATGACAGCACCCTTGAAGTGAGGTAAAATGCTTTTATCTGAGCTTTCCTCTACTAGTTATTTCAGAACCTTGTGTTAATTTCCTGCTCTTTGTGGTACAGCCTTCATTGGAATGTGTGAGTTCGATAGAGTGCCAGCAAACCTGGCATTCAAAGTGCTGCCACTTCCTGCCTTGTGATAAAAGAAATCTGAATGACTCCCTGTTTTCTTTATTTCTTCAGCATTTACGTTTTTGGCTTGTCTAGTTTGTAATGTATCATAGTTACAGTAGATCATGGTAAAGAATACATTCAAACTAGCTTGCTTGTACCAAAATATAATTTGTGTGTATCATGCTATGATACCAAATTATCTGATTTTTCAATGATGTTTTGTTCAAAATTAAATCCATTGAGTAGTGACACACATACTGTATGTTCTGAAGTAATTTAATTTACTGTATAGTTTTAGACATAGTGTGAAGTTATTCTAAAGCTCTCTGAAACTGAAATATAAACAAAAAAATCTGTTTTTTAGGCGCGGGTACAGGAAATGTGGGAGTCTTTGTAAGACAAAGCCAGTGTTGATGGAATTGGCATGTGATAACTCTGGAATCATATGATTTAAAATACATATTATTCCAAAATTAATAGACTTCAGTCCAGAATTTCTGGGTAACTGAATGGTTGTATACCAATGCATGAAACTCCTTTACACTCTGAAATAGCCCCGAACAGTTTTATTTAAATGTAGGCTTTAAAATGCACTTCTGCGTTATCTCAAGTTTTCAAATTTGATATGATGACTTTCAGATATATTTGCTCTGCACTAGAGCAAAATGTGCTCTACTTTTTTATATCCACAAATAGGTTTCATGGAAAATTCCAATTCTACGCTGTTGGGCTGTTGGGCACAGAAAATCTGTAAAGGGACTAGAACTTCACTGGAGAGAAGCACTCAAAAGTTTAGAAACAACTTTCATTATCCTTAGTAGTCCAATCCTCTGCTTAGTAAGATGGAACATTCCATATTCGACACTTCTTCTTGTTTAATCTCATTATGGTGCTCTGCTGCTTATCCTATGAAACCATATCGTTGTGCAGTGGGGAGGCTGTCTGCACATTAAGTCAGTACTCTGTGGCCCTTTGTAGTTCTCTGCATATGTGTGAGAATCTGTTCAAAATGAAAACAGATGTTGTAGGTAAGCATGGTGCTATTTTCTTGTCTCTAATATGTAATGCAAATGCTATTTGCTCTGTACTGTATGAAGTGCTACTATTTGACTGCATGCTCTAGAAATGTGAAATCTAATTGTATTTTGGCATCTTCTCTGTTGTAGTTTTCAATAAATTAATTTACTCTAGGTCTGGGTAAGATAAATGTTTTTTTTTTTCCCATTATATTTAAGTGTCTAGTTTTTCTAACAATTAATACATGTATTACATTGAAGTTTTGGTGTTTTTTATCATACTTGGTTGATGGGCTTGCAACATGATACAGTATGTGATAAACCATTTGCAATTATAAAAGTTACATTTTTTCATTTCTTCATGTGATACCAGTTCAAATAGATCATTCACGTCTCCCAAAGAGCAATACAACATATGCATTTGGCAGATAACCCATTCACACAGAAAATACATGTCTGCCCACATACTGTATGCATTACATTACTGTAATGTAACCAAAATTACTTTGAACCAAGAATTCTATTCTGACTTTTAATTGTATTACATTGAAGGTTTAGTAAATACATTGTAAAGGGACACTGTTGTGGATTTGTTTATTTTTTACATCACTTTATTGGTGTACCTTTTGTCATGTAAAACCAATTGTAATATTGGTCTTGTTTTGTATTGCTTCTCAACCCCTAGATTCAGAAATATGTTATACTATATAGAATTTTTGGATTGTTATATAATTATTGTTGAACCAGTGGATACCTACTCTGTATTATAAAATGTATAAAACTAGAATCTACAGAAAGATGTCTTACTTTTCTCTAAAAGCATGGTTGTCTTTTACTATAAATACATTGTTTTCCACTACAGATGTAAAATACTGTTCACCCTGTATCTTGTTTATTACATTTGAAGAAGCCCCTTAATAATCAATATTAAGATATTAATATGGGTTCTAGATGTAGAAAATTGATGTAGTGTCCGATTCCTAACAGGCTTACATGAATAAGTTAAAGCACTGGGAGATTAATTGCAGGATGCTGGATGAGATAAGCCATTTTCAAGTATAGCGAAGCATGTGTAGAAAATAATTTAGGATTAGAAGCGTAATCTCTTTATGTTAGGTGTGCAGTATCAGCAGAACAATATGGAGACAAGTAGGGTCTTTTAGACAGTATATCACAAGCAGAAATCATTCATAAGTTTAGTTACAGATGTTAGCTTTGTACTTGTGATATGGAGTAAATTACTGTGCATACTGCAAAAATGCTGCGCATGCTGTGTCAGTGGCATGGCTCTGCTTCCTCAAAGATCTTGGGTCTTGGGTTCAGTTCCAGCCTGGGGCATCTTCCGTGTGGAGTTTGCTGTTTCTGCCCATGTTTGTGTGGGTATTATCTGGGCATTGTGTTTTTCCCCCACCTTCCAAAACCATACTGGCTAGGTTAGTAGATGTTCCTATGTGCTTGTGCTGTATGTCTGGGTGCCCTGTGATGGACTGGCGTCCCTTTGTACTTTGTGTGATTTTAGAATTTGTTCCACGTTCTGCCAGTTTTTGCAGGAATGGCTTTCTCATAATGGATGAAAGAAAGTCTTGAATTATTTTTTGGAGGCATAGAAAAGTAATATACCTGTGTTTTCGTAAATGTCCGTTTCGTAAATGTTTTGATTACTTTTTCAGTTGTTCTCGGTACCGTCAATCATAATTTCATTTTATTTCAAACATTATATTCTTTCATTCATAATGCTCTTAAACTTCATTATCTATCTTATCAATTCGATTTTTAGAAAATGTGCAGTAAAATTGAATAGAAAATTAAATATAGTAAAGTTTGTTGTCCTGACATTTTCATTACAACTTTAAGGGTTACTTTTATACAACAAAAGGTGGCGATTTAAATAATATGTGTTTTTAAGTGTTTTACATTTCTAAAGTATTTTTGGTATTTTAGTTAGCCAACATACAATTATGAAATTTGAATTAAATAAAATCATATGGTCAAAGTTGCTTTATTTCTGTTATTATTTACAAGAAAGTATTAGGATACTGAGGATACGTAAAGTATATTGTATTATTTTTGGCTAGTAACATAATACACAATTTCCGTGTCTGTGTTTCAGATCGCCATAGTGCACTGTTAGCACTACTCAATCACAAACTCATTGCATTAAAAATTGTGTAACAACAGATAGACATCAGAAGAATGTTTAAATGTAATGATATTTGTTGTCTTTGCAGCACAAATTGAAGTTATACCGTGTAAAATCTGTGGAGATAAATCATCAGGAATTCATTACGGCGTCATAACATGTGAAGGTTGTAAGGTGAGTAAGTTCTTCATTGTATTTCATGTATTGTGTGGTATTGTAGAATGTTCACATTCAATAGGCTTCACAAAACATAAACATTAAATTCAAAGATACAGTACTTGAAACATTAACAAAGTATTAATAGAAGATTTGTAAAATAAATTAATGAAAATAAAAGGTAAATAAATGATAAAATGCTTTATGCTTTAAATTTACCAGTGTTATCTTTTATGTTATATTCTACTCTCCATACATTATGAAAAGCATACTCTTCAATGTAATCAATGTAACTAATCTCGTGCTTATATTGGTTTGCCAGTCTGATTAAATGTTTGTAACGCATATAGAAGTACTATTAAGGTCAAAAAAGTTAAATATTTGGCTTTTTCTTTTCTCATGTAAATAACATTTTTAGGAGCGAGTCTCTTAATTTATGTATTTGGAATTACTGGTTTGTATAGTTAACATTTAAAATATAAAAATAAAAAAATGAAAAAAAAGCATTCCTCAGTGTCACGCCCTCTGCAGCCAGAGGGCGCTCCTTTTCTGTCCTGTCCCTAGTTTCCAGTCTGCTGTCCTTCCTGTCCCTCTCTTTCCCTTGGGCTATATATTTCCGGGTCTTGCACTCTGTCCTTGCTCAGCATTGAGGTTCGGATGTCCTGAGACCCGCCTAGCACCAGGGCGCCCCACATCTGCTCCCTGAGGGCATAGGTTTCTATACGGCATTCCTGAACTCTTTGCACTAATGAGCCCGGGCCTTTTTCCCGTCTCGCCGCTACGCATATGGGTTTTTTTCTGCTCTCCTGCTCCCCACGGTTTGTCCCTTTGGACGTCCGTGACACTCAGTATTTGTTAATATCCTACTGTGGGAAAATGTAATAATCAAAAAGTCTTCTTGATGTGAGTTTCTGTGTTCTTGTGATTTATTATTTTTATATCTTTATACCTCGGTTTTCAGTCATTCTTTTGCCAGGATAGATTTACGGTGTGCTACATATCCCATACAGACCACCGCGGTAGTTTAAATTGTTTCAGGTATTGCCATGAGCTAACAAAAACAGAGACACAACCATGGTGCTCCTGTCATCGTGAAGAAAGCCTTTTTTAACTGAGAACTTCAGGGTCAATTGGACCCTTTGGATATCATTACACTTTTCAATTAGTCTAACCCAAGCCTGTGTTAGTGGCTTGTTAGCTGGCTTCTTTGGCATCCTACCACTGTAAACTAACAGCTTGTAGGTGTCATGAACTGAAATAACACCCAGATTGTTGAATTTATACTGCACAAAGATTTTTATTGGATGAGCAATATACTATACACCAAAAGTGTATATATACATCTGCAGTACAGTGATGTATATAGAATAAGTAGTGGACTTTTAGTAAATATATAGTTTCATTTTTATCATAACGTATCATTACCTGTGTTGACTAGATTACCTGAAATTCAACAATAAATTATGGAGTGTAGAGGAGATACAGTACAGCAGATACTTTTCTTAATTCATTCACCCCACATCTATATCCCAGAGTTGATGGTTGATTTTCAGGAAGGGATTTTGATTTTTAAGATGCAAACACTGAGCCAAGATCATGGCGATTGCTAATTCCCACTGGAGAATTTCCTCTGAAACACATCCATCTTTAAACACACTTGTTTTTCCGTGGATGGTAGGAGCTCATTGTTTATGTAGGACCCCTTTCCCGTAATTTTCAGGGATTCTTCCGAAGGAGCCAACAGAACAATGCCTCCTACTCCTGTCCTCGCCAGAGGAATTGTTTAATTGACAGAACAAACAGAAATCGATGCCAGCATTGCCGACTGCAAAAGTGTCTTGCCCTTGGAATGTCTCGAGATGGTAAGAATTAAGCAACATACATTTATTTTCCCAAGCAATATCAAATCCGTGATCTGTGGAAAAGTGATACTTCGACCTGTTTTCTTTTGAAATAAATGATTGTAAAATACACATTCATGATTTGAAAACCATCAAAACATTATAGTAATCCTTGAAGACATTGTTGCTGCGGAAAACAGTGGAAGTTCTGTTATTTATAACACGATTGTACAGATATATTTTACAGATATATCTTAAACAAAGAATTGAAGGATTAGCAGTAATTTTACCAAATTATGTCTTGAGAACTATGTTCAATTTGTCGATGAGTCGGTGTGTCACAGCACACTGTAGCTGTTCCTTTAGTTTTAGTGTATATATAAATGGCTTCTATTTAGATTTCAAATTAATTTGGCATTTACGATCTTTAATCTGTATTACTTCTGAATTCTGTTTCTGTAGTAGCTGATTTTGTATAGTGTATAGTTGGATGAAATTTTAACGCTTTAATATCCAACACTTTCCATGATAGTGACCGCTTATTTTATATTACACTACTATTTAAAGGCTTGTATATTTATACTATACTTGATTTTGAATCCATAGCAAGTTTGAAATAATATATCTATATAGATTTCCTCATTTAAATCCCAGCTGCCAATGGCAAACAGATAATACGTGTCATGTGCTTTGTATGATTCGATTCACTCCAGTACCTGAACTGGATGTTTTTCTTCCTCCTGCACGGATGATCTAGTGTTTAATCGAGTTTGTCTTTGCGTCCAGCCGTGAAGTTTGGGAGGATGTCCAAGAAGCAGAGGGACAGCTTGTATGCCGAGGTGCAGAAGCACCAGCAGAGGCTGCAAGAGCAGCGGCAGCAGCAGAACGGAGAGGCCGAGGCACTTGCCCGCGTCTATACCAGCAGCATCAGCAACGGTCTCAGCAACCTCAACAATGAGATCGGGGGGACGTACTCCAATGGACACATAATTGACCTGCCAAAAACTGAAGGGGGCACTGGTTTCTACAGCATGGATTCTACACAGCCCTCTCCGGATCAGTCAGGGATGGACATGGCTGGGATCAAGCCAATCAAGCAGGAGCCTATATATGACCTGACGCCTGTACCAAACTTGTTTACATACAGCTCTTTCACAGATGGGCAACTAGCCCCCGGTGTGACGATAACTGAAATAGGTAGGTGCATGGACACTTACACGGTACTGTCCCACTTGACAGGTCTCAGTTTCTTCTAATGTAAAGTAATACTTTTAAATGGCAAAATTAAGGGGATGTAAAAAAGTTGAAAAATCTTTTGTCACCTTCAGAAATAACTTGTTCTCATATAATCACCACCAATACAGCAACTGCATTTGTCATAGTATTTGGCTGAACAAGCAGGCACGTGACATGTCTAGTGATCAGGTGAGGTTAGTTATTCCAATTACATGATAATCGCCTAATAATGCAGTTGTTTCAATTTCTTATATTTTGTTTCTTATACTCCTGGTATTTTCAGTGTAAACCTGTGATTCTTTTACATGTAGTTTATTGGTTGGTATAGTCCATAAACCATCCACGTTTGTGGATGATACCATATTTGGAGGATTAGCAAACATTGTAGAAACTGAAATTTACATTAAAAAGATTTTGATAAAATTCAAAATTTTGGCAAACTGTTTAGTGGATGACATGCACATAGTGTATATACAGTAAGTGCAGAGTTGTGCATGTAGGTAGCAAAATCACAAATAAAATACAAAATGGGAAACATCATTTACAGTACATATACAGTAGATAATGTGGGAAGGAAGGCAAACAAACTGTTAGGATATATACAGTAGTTAAAAGCATAGAATGTAAATCAAAAGGCATTGCATTAAGATTGCATAATACACTAGTAAGGCCTTATTGAGAAAATTGTGTACAATTTTGGTCACCATTATGGAAAAGATATTGCTTTTCTGGAATCCATCCGTTCACATTCCAAGGCTTAAGGTTGTGTCATCCAGTCAAAGTTTGAAGAAACAACCTCTTTTAATGTGGAACAGAGAAGACTATGTGGGGACCTTCTACACATATTCAAAATCCTCACAGACATTGACAACATCAAACCAGCAGTCTTCTTCAGAACTAAAGTCAAACACAAGAAAACTACATGAAAGTTAAAAATTAAAAAGAATGAGATCAAGGGACACTTCTTTACCCAAAGAAACTACTAACTACCAAATGGACTAGCTGGGCCAACTGGTCTCTTCTTATTTGAACTTTTTTTGTATTCTTATTTAGAATATAAAAAAATATTTAGCTCTAAGGCCCAGACTTTCTTTTGTATGCTTTAATTCTGATGTCTTTCAACGTCTTTTCACATTCTTTTTCTGCTAAATACTGTAATTATGTGTCTTTCCACATGATGCATTGCCACTTCTATATATTGTCAAGTACTTTCAAAGCCAACAATTTTAGGAGCCCAGTAATTCATCTTTATTAATAATTTGCAGCATTTTGGCTTTTTGTCATTCTTATTTCCCCAGTAATTCACCTCAGACATGCCCTGTTTTCTTTTTTTAAACAGATCGAATTGCTCAGAATATTATTAAATCCCATCTGGAGACATGTCAGTACACTGTGGAGGAATTGCAGCAATTGGCATGGCAGACCCACACCTATGAAGAAATTAAAATGTATCAGAATAAGGTAACAGACTCTTGTTTGAAATCACCTTGTCAGTGATTTGTCAAATTTATATGGTAAACTCAAAGCCTGCTGAACTTCAGTTCATCTAATTCTAGCCACTGGTTTTTCGTAGGATTAGTGCTTTCGTTGTCAACAGCTAGAAGTTCCCTATACTGCATTTCAACACTCTTCCTGTCCACACTAACGAACAGAATAGGCAAATTATACTGTATAATGCAAGATCTAGAGCTTATCTTCCTCACATTGGACTGTGCTAGAATGTTAGCACTACTGTTTCCCAACATGACAGCTTACTTTCCAACATACAGATACAGTACATTTGTAGGCAATACAACACAGGATATTGTATTGAGGTATTGTCTATATTATGGTTTAATACTGTATATACTCATATTAAACAGAGTTGTGTATTGTTCTGCCTCATGACAATATATGATACAGTACTACACTTCCTTTGATTGAATTTGGTTTGTATTTTGTAATTGTTATACAATTTAGTGTAGTTATATTTTTTATTTTCTCATAAATTACTCTATCTGTAACTTATTCAATTATTACTCTTAATATTGTCCAGGGCACTGCCAATTGATGAGATGATAAATGGTACTTCACCTGACTTTTTTTGTGCTTTTCTCATTTTCCAAAGCAGAGTTTGATGTTTTAATAAACAAAGCATCACGTGCCGTCTTTGTTACTTCAATATCATTATTTGAAGCTACTTGTATTTCTGAATTGTTTATTTTTCTTTTCTGCAGACACGTGAAGTCTTGTGGCAGCAATGTGCAATCCAGATCACACATGCCATTCAGTACGTGGTTGAATTTGCCAAACGGATAACAGGCTTTATGGAATTGTGTCAGAATGATCAGATTCTTCTCCTTAAATCAGGTAAGCACTGAGAGCCTTAACGTTTTATGACAATATAAATTACATAAATGTATGACAAATTTTCTTTTTTGCACATCTCCTTTTATTCATGCACATTGTACAAGCGTTTCAAATACTTCTGTTCTCCGAGCCTGCATTCTCTCTTTTTTCTTGTGTATCGTAACAAATTGGTGTTGACTTTGTCTTATGATAGTAGAAGGATCTTCTGAAGTTTTATTTGTATTTTTTTTTATTTGTTTGTTTTTTGTAGGCATATTTCATATTCTTCAGTTGTTTATTATTACATTATTACAGCTTAAAAACATTGAAAATCTGACTCGTTTGAATTACAAGTACTGTTTAACTTTGTTCTCCAATTATTTCATATTGCTATGACATTTTACCCAGGTAATATATGGAATGATAATGTAGCTGAAAGAAAAAGGGGAACTGCAATGCTATATTTATTATACTGGGTTATAATGAACCAGCGATCAGGAGTGCATTTCAAACCACAATGAAACTTCCAAGTACACAGTATCGTGAATCTCGTTGAGAAACTTGTTGATGGAACCAACATCAGTGCCCATGTTTATTACCCAACTCTTGGTTGAATATCTCTTGAAAAAGGAAACAGTTTGACTTTCTGCTAATCAGATCCTCTGTTTTGTGTATGTCGAGCATTTGGATGTTACAAATGCTCTGCATTGTGGCATCATTTAAAATATATACAGAGCAGAAAGGGCCACATTTCTGCCACAATTCTTGCAAACTCTCTCTCTTACCCATGCTGAAACCAGCTGTTTCTCATCTGCCTGCTACAGCAAGGCAACCGTACAGTATTTTCACAAAGCTCATGATTTTGTTCTTAGTCTGAGAAACTGGGACTGCAGTTCCCCTTTAAACAAACTAGACGTTTCTTTTTTCACTGTGGAAAATACCATAATCTAATTTATTAGCTGGCATACACACCAGAATTAAAATAGATCTCTTTTTAAATGTTTTTTCAAGGTTGTCTTGAAGTTGTGTTGGTGAGAATGTGTCGTGCCTTCAACCCACTGAACAACACTGTGCTTTTTGAGGGAAAATATGGAGGAATGCAGATGTTTAAAGCTCTAGGTAACTATTGGGTGTTATTTTGGTTAACCATGTAATATGTAAAAAATAATCAATTTAGAAGGGGTTTAATACCCTTTTACACAATGGCGCTAAATTCTATCTGAAATGATCTGAGACATATTTTCACCACACCAGGCTATGAAAGGAGTATATCTCAAAAGCAATACCTGGTTTCTCATTTTATATGCACAAATACTGTTCTGATTTGAAAAACATTTTTTAACTAGACATGTATAGTATTAAAACAATGAATGACTTATTAGTACTGATTAAGTTGTACTTCCTTTCTTTATCCCAAACTAATAGTTTTTGGCTATAACCTTAATAGAATGGGTTGATGATAGTTGTGTTAAATAATCTTGGCAATATCATGTACTACAGTATCTGTCAACATGCTGTAAATGTAATTCATCATTGGAATTTATATGGGCAATAACAAACAAAAGACCTACATTTTATTTGTAACTTTTCTTACTTTAATATCTTTACAGCAGTGGATTTTGTTTTGCAGCACTTCAGTCCTTTAACGTTTCTTGTATTTTTCCACAGGATCAGATGATCTAGTCAGTGCAGCTTTTGACTTTGCTAAGAGTCTGTGTTCCCTTCAACTCACAGAAGAGGAAATTGCTTTGTTCTCAGCAGCAGTCTTGATATCAACTGGTAAGACTGGTAGATCTCCAGTGCCCCTGAGAATATGCAGTCTTTCCAAAAGAGACGTGTAATAAGCAAATGTATCCTGATTTTAATTTATATGATAGATGATAGGATTCAGGTTGCTGCTCTCATATCTTGGCCCTTAAGTAAGGTTGCCCATATACTGTGTATTTTATATATTTAAATTTTTATCATTTATTTCCATCAGAACTACTCATCTCCTTACAGTTCAAAATAAAAATGGAAAATTAAAGTCAATTAATTACTATAATCTATATTCTTATTGGTATTTGAAATATCAGCAAATGTAGCTTGATTAGATTTGGGCAAATTTAACTTGACTCGATTTGCCTGAAGTAGACAGTGCAATATGACGGTCATCCAAGTCATGTCAACTGGTGTGATGTTTAATGTTTTTAATACAAGTATATAACAGAGGATGAAGCACTCGTAGAATGGGTGATTCTGTGCTGTTTTTCATTCATGACAAAAGAGATGCCAGTTGCATACAACTGTAATGGGGGTGCAGAGACCCCTAGCTTCTGCCTTTTGTTATCACTGTAGACATTCCAGAGCAAGGTTTATCACAAACAAAGATTGAGATCTAATTTTTTTCTGTATTGTCTAATCGTAATTTGGAATATTAGCAATTAAGTTCAGTAGCACCTTATTAACACAGGTCCTATACCCTTTTTATTAGTTCTCTAATTCTCTGTTCTTGTTTTCTGTTACTAGGAATGTGCCTCTAGTTAGAGAATGATTTTGTTTTGAGAAATAATGTATATTGTAGCTGCAGTATGCTTCTTGCACTAACAGTAAGATAGCTAGAAAATATCCAGGCTCATTCTTCCATCCTTTGATATGCTTGTTATGATTAAGAAATCAACACGGTTTGAAAATGTTGCTGAAATGTCACTGATTTCAATGTCAATAGATCGTCCATGGCTGGTGGAGCCTAGGAAAGTACAGAAACTGCAGGAGAAAATATACTTTGCGCTGCAACATGTGATGCAGAAGAACCACTTGGATGAGGATTCGTTAGCCAAGGTACGACTTGAAGTTGAAGAGACGTTTTTTAAATACTTCTGAAAGGCTGAATGTTACACTCATTGTAATAATGTAGGTTGTTACATTTACATTCTTACGTACTGTATCTTTTTTCTGGGAATGTTATAGTATTATAAGTAGTCTGTTACAGTATACTGTACAGTATGTCAACTGCAAGTGAGCTCACTTAATTAAAAGGCAAGATCCTAGCCACACCTTTTCTTACTCTGAAGTTTTCAGAGAACACATTTCAGTTTTGCAAACTCCAATATATTTTGAGTTATCATAATATAGAATAGTCATAGAATAACTGGAACTAATGAATCTTCATAGTAATTATGCAACAATATTCAGTGTCCATGTAGAAAATACTTGAGTTACATTTTGAATCTGTGGACCAATGAGATGGATGTGGAAACTACAAGTTGAATTCTTTTTGTTTTCGGTCCATATTGAGAATAATGTACTACTATTTATTCATCACACTGTGCAGAATGAGCCTCTGCTTTCTTGGAATGAACTTTAAGCTGCTTAGAACACTTGTAGTCATTATCATAATCTCTGTAATAGCAGACATCGTGTGAACCCTAATACTGACTAATGACTTCAGCATATAACTTCATTGGACACTTTAACAATCTTTTCACAGAAAGATAGAACACATTCAAGATGTAGGTACTGTTTTTTACACATAAATGTAATTTTCAAGGCACACATAGATAGATTTGATTTAGTGAAAGTTAATCATTACTAAATGTACTTAAAACATGACCTATCGACTCTTGTATGTTTTATTTTAATACTGTATAAACAGGAGTATTCCTCTTTTGTATATTTTAATATAAAAAAATGCCAGCGGATAATTCTGTATTAAATGGATTTAATATATGGAAAATATTGTCAATAAATAATTCACAGTGTTACACCAGAATTTAGAAAATTCCAATTTTGACAGTGATATTTTCCTTTATTTTTACAGCTGGTTGCCAGGATCCCAACATTATCAGCACTTTGCACCCTGCATACAGAGGAGTTACAGGCTTTTAAGCAGTTACATCCTGAAACTGTCAACATGCTCTTTCCTCCATTATATAAGGAGCTTTTTAATCCAGACTCTTCAACAGGGCCCAAGTGACTAGAGGCCCCAACATACTGTAGCTACTGGAGTGGCTCTCAGATAAAGCAATCTGTGAATGGAGAATAAACTATAATCATCACTACTGCAACACTAGGAATGTCCCGCACTTACTACAGTTTTATTCACCGATACAGTTTAAAGAATGTAAATATGCACCTATTATAAGGGGCTTTTCAGAACTGACCAGAAATGTACAGACTTAGAAAATTGTAAGTTGTCTTTTTTCGGGTAAGTTTATTTTGTTCATATTTTGTTTTTTTACCTGTGTAAGGGGAGGAGTGAAAATGTTTCTGAAAATGTTTGTACAGTAGATACGCAGTACACAAGAGCAGAGCAGAACATTACAGTATTAATACCTGTTCTGTTTAGATTTTAGTTGTAATTTAAGACAAAATCAGCCTAGAGGGCTAATGATTTGTTTGTGTTTTCAGTAATTGTACTGTATGCGTACAGAATTTGTAAAGTATTGGGTGTGTAAAAATTTTGTGATATAACAGGAAAGGCAGAATTACAGTAGGTTGTTACATTTTAGTAAAGCCTTGTCTGGATTGTTTTAGAACTGTTCATGAAAAATAGTTCTTCAGATGATTAAAACTGAATTTCTCCTTAAACATACAGTATGAAAGTATGTTTTGAGTAAATAATCTGAGTTGACAGATTCACCATTCTTTCAAATGTTTTGTATTGCTGTAAAGTCAGTAATAACTGAACTCCTTTCAAGATGAAGATTTTATTGTTACCTGTTGTAAAAGTTTATCTGAAGATTTGCCATTCTTAATACTTCTTAAAACTGCACTAGAACTATAGCTTTACAATCCTGTGTGGGGTGGTTCTGTTTATAAAACATCAAGACTGCAGTATTGAAGACATTTTGCACATTTTTCCTATAAAACTCTATATAAGGCTGGTACAATGAAGGATTCTCATAAACACAGCAATAATTACTTTTACAATATTCTCTGTAAAATTGTAAAAAATGTCCTATGAACAGGGCATTGTTGTATTAACACTATATGCTATGCGAATTGTAAAATGCAATACAATTATTTTGCAAAAAATGCAAAATGTATATTTTGCTTAAAAATATTGAAAGCTTACTTCTCCATTGTTCAGTTTCTTTCTCATTAAAACCATCTTTATCGTTTCTTATTTTAATTACAAAGGGTTCAGCGTCAGATTTCCCAAAATCTCTTCACTCCTTCACGCATTTTCATGCACTTTTCAGGATGTTTAGAGATTTCCAACTTTTAGATATTATCCTTTGCCTTATTTTGGCAAACATTATAAGGTCATAGATAAGACTCCTCAATTAACAACCTGAAATACAACATAGTAGAACTTAATCAACTGTGACACAACAGTAAGTAGAGCAGGTGGAAGCTGTACAAAATATATTTTAGTGTTTTTGAAAAAATCTACATATTTCATTTCATTTAAGTTATTACCCACATTAGATATACAGAACTCAATACACAGATATACAGAATAGATCAACTCAATTTTTTATTTCTTTTCCAATTCTTGAATCAAACATATTTGATCATGGGGTGGTACACTGTTGGTTAGCTGGTTTTAATGGGTTAGGGGACGTAATGTGTTACAAAGCATAAGGAAGTTGTCTTTTCTACTGTGTGTTGTAGATTTCATTTAACAAGGCACAATCTTTTAGCAATCTGGGATTTTATTGAAAAGACATTAATCAGCCTCAAGGTTTTGAATCACATAACAATCAGCAGCTCTAAAGCTAGATTACAGGGTATTTTCAAGTAATTCCAATGAAACAGTTTCCAGTGTTGATTTTTATTTTCTAGCAAGTTGTGATAGACAATCATTTTTCATGGGGTACGGTAGCATTTATCTGAGCCTTTCTGCATGTTTATCCATAATGTAAATAACATGCCCTAATTTACTGGTTATGGTTAGTCTTTTTTGTTTAATTTATTTTGACTACTCAGGGTTTTTTTTTAAGCTAGTCACATTGCCTTTTTATCTGTTGCCAAGGAAAATCTGGTTTTAATTCAGATTTGAACCTGAGCAAATGTAGATTTTGTTTTTAAATTCGTAATGTACAAATCAGCTGTGATCATAAAGTAGTGTATTTTTGATAATTGCTTTTTCTTATTTGCTCCACTAGGTGGAGGCATTTTTAAGTAAATGACCAAAACCATCCACACATAATGTGAACAGGGTGCCAACATCTTATTTGCTCTCAGAAGTTGTATTTTTCAGTTTCACAGTGTGTATCTGTACAAGTATGTGTGTACCTGTTTCGTATTTATTCACCCATCCTTTAAAATTTCTATGTTATTATTGCATGTATTATTACAACAAATTGGCTATGAATAGTATCACAAAATCACCCATGTTTAGTATCTTGGTACAAGAAATAGAAGCACTTTAAGAACCTTTTAAAATTACATTTCTCAGACTGCCTCTGTGATTTAACATCTATTGTAAATTTCAGCTTGATAATCAGTTCTGCTTTTCATAATTTAATAAAAAAGAAATTAAACAGCAAAAGGAAGTACTTTCATACGTTCATTGCGCTTTTCTTATTTTTCTTTTTAAAACCCTACAGAATGGACATTTTGCACTACTGATGATCTATGTCTCTAGGTAATTCCTAAAGTTTTTGTACAGTCATGGTTTCTTACTAAATTTTATTTCCTTATTGCACAAGTTGAAGTTATGTATGAAAGAATTTTATTAAAATGATTTAGCAGTGGAAATTAAGATTTAGTTTCATGGTAGAATTGTAAGAATAATGTATATTTTGAGTGGAAAGAGTGAAAATATTTTTCAATCCATTTTTTTTTTGCCGGCACTTTGTTAACAATTGAGTATCTGACTCCTCTTTCTTAATCCTATATAAAAAAATGAGATGTTGCAGGAACATCTACAGATACCTTAGATGCTGACAAATTTTACCTAAACAGATTAAATAGTATATTTAACAAAAAAAAAACGTCTACCTGCATCAAAATAAATATTTTGGCCACAGAAATATTTTCTTAAATACTATCTATTCCATAAGTTGTTTGAACAGGCCTGTATGTAATGGATGATTTTTAAAGGTATAAGGAATAAGTGTTTATGCTAAATATAACAGCAGTGTTGTCTATATTTTGTATCAAGAAAGACATATGAAAGTGGTAAAGTATTTTTTTTTGTTTTGTTGTGAATGAGCATTAGAACAAAAACGGATGTGGACATTTATTTCAGTAAGTACATGAGACTTTACAGTAAATATCCAGTACTGACAATTGCAAATACTTTAGGCATTTATTTACAGTTTCACTTCAAGTAAAATAATGGAGGAATGCTTCCACATATACTCATATTCAACTTTACTGTTACTGAGACGTTAATAAAGAACAAAGTAGTAATTTTAAGACTAACATTGTTATGCATTCATTTATATTTTTTGTACTGAAGAATGTATGTAGCCCAGCTGCATCTCACTGCCATGAAGCAAGACACAATTTTTAAATGGATACACCAGAAAGGATTTTACATGCTTACAATGCTCTACTTACTTTTGACCATTATCATTCACATGTCAAAGACAATCATGTATAGACAAGCATTTTAACTGTATCTTCCTCAGGGATGTTTTTGGTGTATAAAAAGAGAAAATAATCTATAACTTTTCCATTTGAAAATAATGAATTTTTTGAATACTAAAGAAGAAATACCCAGACAAGGCTTTCAGGGTAGTGTGGTGAACACCTTTTAGCTGAATTCACAGTCAGAAATGCAAGATTGTATCTCCAGTCAATTGTACACCCGAGACTTTAATGGATTAGTAAACTGGTAAACACTGCTAAACAGGAGTCCTGCAGGTATCTGTCAACTTGTGTTTTAAATGTATAGTAGTTTTTTTTTATTAACAGATAGCAGTGTTGCTTTTTCAATCATATGAAATTACAGATCTCCAATAGATGTAAAATTGTAATTCAATTATTATAATCTGAAAATTACAGAAAAGGACATTTTCAAGTAACAGATAGTAAATTACATCTTAAACAGCTGTATTGCTAACATTTACTTCAAAAACATAAAGACTCCTATGTGGTTTAGTTATTTATTGAAAATCCTAATACTGTATGTCTTTTAGGTTTGACTGAACATTCAACTTGAGTCACTGGTACTAATTTTGCATAGTTTATAGTTCACAAGTTGAAAATATTGGTGAATTCTGGTCATTTTAAATGTATTCTAATTAATTGACCATCTCTAATCCACTAAATCCAGGAAGCACAGTGAATTCAGCTACAATAGATAATTTTGTCTTGCTAGATTATTTTTGTTTCTAGGTAGGCAGTGAAAAGGGGTTTGGGAAAGAATGCTACTTTGTTAGGTATTGTAGCAATAAATGAAAGCATTTTGATGTTATGATCCTTACAGTACATTGTATGTTCTATTTGTTCTGGGTGTTTTGCATGTTGTCCCACAAAATTTAAGTATTTGAGTCATCTGTGTTGTGGATTGGGGATTTTCACTGATTGTTCTGGGGTTCTATTCAGAGTGTACTGCTGAATGCATTACAGTACATGTGAGTAGAGAGACAACAGTTGCACCACTTCTGTAACAAGACAATAAAACAGATATTTAACTGCTACTGTTACATCCAAGAGTAGCAAGTGGTTCTTTCTGTAACAAGTGAAGTTCAAAAAGTGTCATTTTGAGTTGATAAGTAAAGGGGGTATTTCAGTCATTATTTCACAATTCACTAACGATAACGATATGTGACATTATTACAATAATACTTTGATTTGTGTTCAATTAGAAAATGCTCCATGAAAACGTTAACAGAAAATAGTACTTGTTACGAGAGGCAAAGTATTTAAAGAAGAGCGCATATGGTTGGCACTTGTGGAAGAGGTTTGTCTGTAATATGATGAAGGAACATGACTCTCCTGTTCACAATACTTAAAACGACATTCTAAGTGACTAAAAAGAGTGTTGTGGACTTTTACCACAACCCTTAAATGTAAAGCTGAGTCAGATAAGAAGAGGATAGCTTGTATTAATCTTTCAAGGTAAATACCAGCACTAAACATAAAATTGTCATCATGACTTACTGCTGTATGAAGAAAAGCAAAATAATATGACATGAATTTGTTTCTGGCCTAGAGGTCGTTTTTAGTTCTTCTTTTCCCACGAGCATAGCAAAGCTGTGAATTTGAAATGAAATTGCAGCCGCTAGGGACTATAATACTTAATCCCACTATACCTACTGTAAATTACCACAAAAGGATAAGGATAAATAATCAAGTGCCATAGTTGAAGCAGAGAAGTCTTAAAAACTGTACTGGAATAATGCTTTACTGTCAAATCCTGCTTTACTATCAAACATGAACTTCACAATTAATTATAATGTATCATAATTAAATTTCCTAATTACCAAGACTTTGTGTGTTCTCATCCCTTTGTTGCATTTGAAGAGAAATACTGAATTGATTAATTTAGTTGAATTCTGTATTGTAATCTTTTGTATACATTTTTTGTTTGTTGGGGGGAAAAGGCAAATTACAACAGTGTGTTAGAATTCCATATATATTTGTCTACTGTGAATTGATTGTAATGGAGCCTTTAACCAGCTGTGGTTTCTTCTGCACTATATTAACACCAATAGCAAATGAAAACGCCATCTTTTCTCCCGTTCTGTTCCTTATGACTTTCCAAAGACCATTAACTGAATGTTCAGTTAACACTAGACAAATAACATCATTATGCAAGAGGATTGTCAATTCAAGCTGAAAGTTCTGTACGAGTGAACAAGTTATTTAAAAACAAATATATAATCAATTTTAAGAGTTGATTTCAAACCTATTTTGTTTTCGCACTAATGATTGATGGCCCTACAGTAAACTGCTATGTTTCCATGATTCACTCTGACGTAATCCAACCTTTGAATATTTATGCATATATAGAAGTGGCTTCTCCAGGGAAAATTATTTTGAGTGATCCGTTTTATCCTTCTAAACAGTATTAAGCAGATATGTGTATGTCACAAAAGCAAAGTCACAGAGGGAGTGTAAAATCTGCAAGATTGCAATAAAATCTGTTCGATCAGTAGGGTATTATAATGTTAGGCTGTTCTTCTATGAATTTTGAAATTCACTTGAGAAGTTAACTATGGAAGTATACAAAACATTCACAAAAATCAAAGAATACTATTTTAGCAATATTTCTGTACAGTTGAACATTCTGTAAATGTTACCACAGGTGTTGGTGGCTTTTTTATAAATATGAAGTGTGTAAAATTAATATAATTGATTAAGACTTTGCCAAGTCTTTTTAGAAAATATTTGAGCTTGATTAGAAATATATATTTTCATATTTGTAAAAGGGACTAAGTAAAGCTGTTTTGTTATAGCTCCCATGTCTTTGAAAAAAATATTACAAAAATACATTTGCCTTTATTATCCATATAGTCTTGAGTGTTGCAGATAAAAATATTTAGTCAATTCCTTTTACTTAAAAATTACAGGCCCAGTGTTTGGAGATGGGATTTTTGATAATACATGCATATTATTTTACTGATTAATGTTGGATACCCTGTTATCAATTAAGTTTTAATCAAATTTTGATGTACCCAGCAAGGTGACAGTTTTGGTCTTGTTTTTTTTCATTTGTAAATACAAAACTTAATTATGTAAGGCATCTCATGTTTTACATTACTTTAGAATGTAAAGTTTAATTTCATTTCTGAAAACGTAGGTAAATAATGTTAGTTGATTTTCTAATGCACAGAAAATTCTGAATGTTTGCTGTAAATGACAATCAATGTTTGTTTTCTTTAATTCTAAAAAATAAAATATATAAAATAAGATCATTTCTGTCATGTATTATTCTGTCTTATTTTAATTCTGGCTCTCCTATAATATCATCTATCCATGTATTTTCTAACTGCTTTATCCAATTCAGGGTTGCACGACTGCTGGCACCTACAGTAACGTACAAGGTGAGACATGGCACACAGTGACACAACACAGACATGCACATGCTCACACCAGGGAAAATTGTCCCAGAAGCCAATTAAGAATAATAATAATAATATTTCTTTATTAGCCCTTTACAATTTCTTGCATTAGGAATTTGTCTTTTCACATACCCCAGCTTTTCTCCATGGAGACAGACAGGGAGAGAAGCTTGGGGTCAGAGCACAGGGTCTGCCATTGTACAGTGCCCCTGGAGCAGCTGGGGTTAAGGGCCTTGCTCAGGAGCCCAACTGAGTAGGATTCCTCTGGCGGCCACAGGATTTGAACCAGCAACCTTCCAGTTACAGGTACAGATTTTTAGCCACAGAGCCACCGCTCTGCCCTACAAGTATGTCTTTGGACTGTGGGAGGAAACTGGAGCACCTGGAAGAAACCCATTAGGACATGGGGAGAACATACAAACTCCTTGTAAATAGCTCCCCAGAAATCAAACTCAGGGCCCCAGTGCTATCTGAGGCAAGAAACCGTGCATACTGAATAATTTAATATTTAATCCAAATTAAAAAAAAAATGGAACTATCAAAATGATAACCTATCAATTTCCTTTTCTACATCTAAATACTGGGGTGGGGGTATAAACGCATTTTAACACCGCCATTTTAAAGCACATATGATAACCAACAAGTAGGAGAGAAATTCTTAAATGGCATTGTGCTATCTTTGATTTTCCAGTGAAGTTATATAAAATGAAAGCGATATAATATGCAGAGTGAAGTAATATAATACAGAAATAGAAAATAAGCTGATATAGACTAAAGAATCACTGTGGGATCAGACATCACATCATCGCCATTGGCACAGTCGAAGGAAGCTTCCAACCACGGATTTCCTGTTTCATCCAATACAGTTTTAATGGGAGAACTGGTGCCTATTTTGGCAAGCAATGGGTGAAAGGTGGGTTACACCCTGTATGGCAGTTCATGTCAAAGACAGACATACACACCAGGGGCAATTTTCCAAGAAGACAATTTCCAAGAAGACAATTAACCTACCAGTATGTCTTTGGACTGTGGAAGGAAACCAGAGTACCTGAAGGAAACCCAGGTGAACACCGGAAGAACATACAAGCTCCACACAGATAGCACCTCAAGTCTGGAAGCAGATTTCCTTTCTCAGGAAACAGACGTAGAAGGGTTGGGCTGGCCTAGAAGGACAGTCCCATTGATACAGAATGGAAGAATACAGTTTTTGCTCTGAAGTACATTGCTACTGTAACTTTCTTCCTACTTACCCCACCAATTAGAATAAAGGAAGGCAGAGAAACAGACATCCAAAGGAATTAAAATTACAGAACAGGCTCAATTATTTAAGAATTAAAAAAAAAACATGCTTAAACATTACTTTAATCAAATATTTGATTATTAAAAATATTTTTAATCAGCCAAAATAAAATATGTTTCATCAATTATAAAAACCTATTAAACATCAATTATAAAACTTGGTTTCATCATTATTTTATTTAGTAATATAAATAATTTAAATTCTCGAATCTGTTGCAGCACAACAATTAAATAACTCCTGTCAAAAGTTTGGAACCTCTTAAGTTAAGGCATTAAACTGCTTCATAGCAGTAAAACATACTTATTATAATAATGCCATCATACTCAGGGCATTTCTCTTTATCTTAATTCTAATCGAGCACAGTGCCACATCCAATATTGTGAACAATAATATTCTTCTTGCTCGGGTGGAAAGCATTTACTTTTACATTTACTGGTATTGTTTTTGGTTAATTTAGTTCTTATCTCCTTAAGGGCTGATGACAGAACTGAGTTTATAATAATGAAAGAGAAAGACTTGACTGAACTGATCGGTCTTCCTTGTTTAAAGGTAGTAAATTACATCTGAAAAATGTGATAAAGCTGAGAATGACAGCATGCCTAGCAGCACTGAATTCGGCACACTGCAGGAAACCAAATGAAATAAAAAAAAATAGTGCTTCTGGGGTCAATCTACCAGAGAGGAATCATAGCTGCTTCCTAGCAAGCCGATGCAGCAAGTTAAGAAATTCAGTGGTCATAGTGAGCTTTATACAGTATGGAGAAGAAAAGTTGATGGGTTAAAATAAAAAACCGTTTTACAGTTCGCATTGTTATGGGAGAACTCCATGCTGACCTAAGAGAATGCAGAGTGCAGGGTGTGATGCTTTGGAAAACCATGTTTCCAGAAAGTGACCTACTGTAACAGTACAGAGAATGGAAACATGGATGCCAAATAAAGAGGTATTGGTGTAGTTGCTTGGACCGCAACAAAAGCCAATGTCCAACATTTCTGTAACTGAAAACAGTAATCAGTGCTATGGTTTGAATACCTGGAGACTTCAGTTGTATGGATTCTGAATTGAAGAGATGGGAGACAAAAGCACACTGTAAAATGATGCTCATAGTGTAATGGAATGACTGAAAAAGCGATGCAACCAAATTTGGGTTGTGGTAAGACATGGAAAGCGTTGATATTGACATAAAGGATCAGAACTTTCTATACTGAGAACTCATAGATTTAAAAGTACTGAGTTATAGTGGATTGTCCCAGTGGGGACAGACAAAGACACAGACAAAGTAAACCTGGCAGACCTGGCATATATCTCCAGTATGATCAATGAAACACAAACAAGAGGACACAAATAAAAACTATGCACTTAAAACTGAGACCAAGAGACACTTATTTACATAAAGGGTTATGGGAATATGAAGCAAGCTACCTGTATGCAGTCATGTTATTGAAGCCAATACTTTGGCTTCTTTCAAGAAACAACTGGATGAGATCCTTGGAGCAATTCACTACTAGCTACCAAACAGGCTAGAGGGGCCAAATGGTCTTCTCTTGTTTATAACCTGATGTTCATAGAATTGTTTCACTATAATAATATGAAACAAAATGAGTATTCATTTGTATGTTCTTTATAAAGATTTATTATGATAGCAGAGTAAAACAATAAACCAAAACCATCCATGTGTTCAATCTATTTTACACTGCATCTCTTTGGCAATGTCAGTTTAATGCTCAAAGCTCTTTTCAAAGTCGTGTAACAATATCTGAGCAATCATCTTCAAAGGCAGGGTTGATTTTTCCCGGAGTCAAAGTATTTTTTCTCAAATCTAAAAAACAAAAATCAGCAAAAATCGTACAGGTGTAAAGATAATAACCTTTATTAAAATAATTTTCTGAAACTGAAATCCATTGTATAGGCTGACTTCACTTGAATAATGCATTTTCATTTTTTGAGTTTGTTTGTCCAAAACAAAGCACTCGTTAAATAGCAAAATCTGTCTGGGTAACATTTGTTTGTTTTTCCTAAGCAAATGTTCCCAATGCATACACATACCAAAGGTTTCATGTTCACGATAATTAATATGTAATCAAAGCTTCTTTTTTTATACTGCAGTGGCACAAAGGAAAGCCAGCCCCCACACATCTGTTTTTGTGTTATCTTTGAGATGTATTAATTTTTCTCTTTAATAAATGCTTTTTGTGGTTCATTAATTTCTCCTTTCTTTGAAAGCTGCCTCTTTTCATGGTTGGCAAAAACCTTCATTGCATTTAAAGAGCACCAGTGGAGGTGACTGAATACTGCAGGATAGTTGGAACTTTGCGTTTCAGTTTTACCAGATCGGGTATTAACTATCTGTTGCTGGTTGCATCTTATCGCACTGATCCAGCTAATACAGATCAGTACATGCTTTGCCTTGTTTATTTGTTTAAGGGTGGGTGCATCTTGCTATCATGTTCTGCCTAAGTGTTACATCAGTAACAGTGAAAACTGAAGAGGTGCTCTTCCAAACCTCAGCCTTTCACATTTTCCACTGTTTTTTTTTCTTTCACTGATTTTCTATTACAGATGTTTTGACTGCAGAGCAAAATAGACCATCATGCACTAAAACATTTCTGGACATTCACGGTTTCATAAGTAAAAAATAAATATAAGCACTTTCTGAATCCAGATAAGAACCAGTTGTAATAGATTATCACAAGCTGTTTGCAATTTAAAAACACATTATATTGTGATCCTTGGGAGAGCATAAAAAGTGCTGTGCTAAACTACTGAATCACTTCTGATCTAGAGAGACACAACAGAATCTTCACCTCACCTGGAAGCTTGAGTTGTTTGCAGCATCTGTTGCACTGATGCTTTTCAATGAAATTTTGGATTGTCCCATCTCCAAGGTTAGCAGGACCAAATATCATGTCTTGTTCACTATGGAAATATGATTGGTTAAACTATTTATACAGTGTATATATATATTTATTTATTTACAGTATATATATATATCTGACACTAATGAGCTTCTCCTCAATGTGGATATAATTTAAGAATTCTATCAATCTGCTATTCCTTTGACCAAACCAATGCAAAATCAAGGACAATTATTACTTTGTGTTCAAAACATCGTTAAAGATATTACTAATCTTAAAAATATCAGAATGAATGATGTCCAAGTTCAATAAAAAGCAGAAATGTAATAGTAATGTACAAATAAACGTAGCCTTTTATTTAGATGTACCCTTTATGACATTTGTATAGTAAAAATATATGTACAACAAGCATTTTTATAATTAAATATTTAATATTTTATTGTTAACTTTTAGCCATGCAGTTTTTATTCAGTGTCCCAGTATGAGGGTGGCTTTTGGCTTACAGTGGTTAATCACCATCTGGGGATTGGCATGGTATACAGTATATCATAAGGATCACCTGTGTAAAGCCTTACGTTTCCTATACAAGAAGCCATCAAGAACAGCCAAGGGGTTCAAGAGTCCACACTTACTCTTTGTCTTCTGCTTTGATCACTGAAGGGTCTGTTAAGTTTTCACCAGCACCTAGAGAAGAGAGATTTTCTTAGTTTTATGCAATGGGATATGAAGCAGTACAATACAAACTGTACTCAGTGATTCACAAAGGCAAGCAAAATAAATTGGTAACTGAAATACAAACAACAAAGTGAGCAAAATTCATTAAACTGAAAAAGACAGGATAAAATAATTAGACCTGGTCTTCTGGTTTTCCAAAAAATATACTGCTTCAGCTTTTCTTCATTTATACAAACGCATTTTGAAGTGTTTTAATTTTTATCTGAAAGCAATTTGTGAAGGTGCAATATAAAATGTTTGATTGATTGGAGGCATCTTGTTAACTTAGATGTTTATTCAATTATAGAAATAGCTTTGGAATGGCATTTCGGAAAACTAAACATAAATAATAAATAAACATAGTAGATACAGAATCTAACCTTGAAGATCAAGAACTATAAGCTCTCCTCTAGAATATTCATACGTCCAATGAGAGAAAGCCAAAATAGTTTCTTCCAGAAAACTCATAGGAGTGACCTCTTCTCCGTTGGTACTGTTGTACTTTTTGAAGTCACCATTCAAGTTTTTCTCAATGGTTAGCCATTCTTCAGTGGAATGGCAGTAGAGCAGACATACATCCAAAACCCTATGAAACAGAAGCTCTTGCCATTAACTGTGTACTGGTGAGCTACTTTCACACTGTGTGTATTATGCATTGATCTGTTTTGTGGTTCTAAACTTCTAAGCTTCTAAAAGCTAATTATGTAGTGAGTCAGGCATGCAGGATAGATGTACCAATGTCAACCACCAAAATTGTCTCAAATGATTACATAAACCTGTGGAATTAAATGTCTTACCTTGGGGAGTAAGGGATGGTATGGGGTTTCATTTGGTTGAATATGTACATGAGTTTTTGAGCAGCCCGTTGCTGCTGGATTTCCTAAGAAAGGAGTAATGAAAAGATAATTTAATGTTAACACTTTGTGCAGTGGTCATTTATATAATGAAAAGCTTATTGTGTAAAAGATTAAACACATTAACAGGAGCTCTTTTCACTCAGAATTTTGGAACGTTCAGGTATCATTTTCTAGTGTGGATTACATTTTTATTCTGTAGTAAATGTATCCTCTCCTGCACATTATCTACAGTATCTCTAGATCTTTATAAACGTTTGCTCAGCATTCCAAGAACTTGTGTCTTAGCTTCTGCCATAAAAGCCATTTCACTGACATGAGATAATGAGGATCTTAACATACATAAATAATTCAGAAATCCACAGGAATGGGAGATTCTTTTCTTCAGCGGTATTCTAGCAAAAAAACTCTTGTCTGCATGAAGTAATCAGAAAGTCTAACAATACTTTTTTGTTAGATTAATGCTTGACTGGTATATTAGTAAACCAAGTTCTTACCCTCAGACACAGATGAAGGACAGTGCTGTCTTGATATATTTTCTTCCATGTCCTGACCAACTCTGGACTGAAAGATTTCACAATATAAACAGCACCTGGCTTCAGCACGTCACCCTCTGCCCAAGTGCAGACCACTTTCATGGCCCTGCGCAGGCCACTATCCATCTGCTTACAAATCAAGGGCTCAATCATAGCAACCAGGCCTTGCTTAGACCAGAAGGATACACTGTTGCTCAGACTGGTCGGTGAGCTCTCTTCCAGTCTGTATATAGTCACTTCCTCACCAGCTATGGAAAATGGAGAAATTTGTTCAGAAATCAGAGGTTGCATTACCTTTGAAAAGATGCCTTTGAAAGATGGAAAGGTTTGTTAGCAAGTTAATCTTCCGTCATAATACTTAACGTGCTATTATGACAAACAAATGCACAGAGAAATTATTTTACTCAGGCTTGTGTCTTGCAAGTTGGCTGTGACAGGCCTCCCTCTAAAAGAGGTGAACCGTGAGGCCTGAACACATCAAAACTGACAATGGTGCAAAGAATGACAGTGCAAGAAGACTTTCCTTCAGCACACCCTGGATACACACAAGTTAGCTCTCTAAAAAACCCACACCAACCAACACCATTCACACGATTTATATCTGAAGCAAACCTAGACTGTTATTTTCTAATCATTCTAATCAGTTACCTTGTTTATTAGCTAATAATTTCCAATTCCATCAGAAATAAGTATTTTTTATAACGATTAGAGGCCTCAGTGGCCTCTAGTCACAGGTCAGCTGTAAATACAGTCCAGTCCTTACTAAAACTGGAATACCACATGATTACAGTTCAAAGTATGGACAATGTGCACAAGCATGAAATTGTCAGATTAAACAGCAGAGGACTTTTTACTCACCAATCAGAGAAACTGGAGTAAATGGTATTGTTTGTGCTAGTCTCATCAAATTGTTTCTCTCAACAGCTAAAACGAGAAAAATATCCTTTTTTAAAGGAACAACAAATTTTACAAAGTGCTCAAGTAGGGCACTAAACTGTAAAATGGAAAAATCTCTAGCTTTACTGTACGTCTGTATTTTGCTGTTAAATAAAAATAAATATTGTTTGTGCATATGAATCATTTAATAAATGGAAGTAATATACAGTATTAAACTTTAAACGTATTATTTTGCTACGAAAGAGCAAGACATTATTAATTTAATATTAGGAAATAAAATAATGATATTCACATCATATTAGAGTGGATTTGTCTGCTTTAGCCAGACAAAACATTTAAACATTTTACATGTTTAAAGGTAAAATCACATACAGTACAACCTTAAATGCCTATTAACAAATAAATAAAAATTACTTTTTAAATTTAAATGTATTAAAATAACATTTGATTTATTTTTTATTTACTAAACTAAATAAAAATATTTTGCAGGATTTTCAAAAGTTACAAAACTGTTATAAATGTGGGCATTAATATTTATATAACAGAATTAAACTGACCAATGAAAACAGGTGGATTTTTTTCAATAACATGTTTTTGAGAATCCCAGTATTGTGGCCACACCGCATTGATAAAGTTCACAGCTGATGCAGTATAATTCTGTAAACAGTGCTGTGGAATATTGTGGTTCCACAGGTATTCCAGGTCCTTATTACTTTACCTGAATAATGATGATTTAGGTCTTCAGAGGTTTTGAATGAGGTGCTCTTTGCTGAAACACACAAAAAATGATGATGGTAATGATGACAATGATGATAATTATTCTATTACAGAGTGGCTCAGCCATTACACATGTTTTCTCTTTTGTAAAACAATAAGTATATTATTATTATTATTATTATTATTATTATTATTATTATCCAACAAACCAAACGTCTGTAATGGCTGAGCCACTCTGTAGTAGAATTAAAGGCTTGAAGAATTCTAACCTTTATTTTGTCACCAAGCATTTTGGGGGTTAGAAGGAGTCCTCTTTATTTAATACTTTGATTACTTACGCCTGTAAAGCAGATTTTCTTTAAATTATTGTATAATACTCACAACTGGCATTTATCGAATATACTGATAAAAAGAAGAGTTGGCATAATAGGAAAAAAATAATAGGAGAAAAAAAGTTACATTGAACTCACCATCTGTGACACCAAAAATCTGCTCCCTAAGTACAAACACAAGTATTCAGTTAAGTATTGTCAGCCAGTATACATAATCTAATCCTTGCTTTATTTTGGGGAAGGCACACTTCCTTAAGCTTTAATTATTAATGAATTGCCAAAAAAATATTTTTAGTAAATCCTAAACAGAGATAAAGACCATTAAATGCTACTGTAACAATTGCATTATATCAACAAAGAAAATAATTTAACTTATATGAAGTTAATAAAGTCCACTTGAAACTTATAATAATACAATTATTAATTATTGAATGAAGATTGCATGAGTGATATTGCTGTATTAATCTATTCTGTACAGTGTAAATCACCTTATTTTTGCTGAGAAAGGTTACCTTACAGTTTTGTATGTTGCGTTGTACTCTTTATAGTATCCCATTCGTGTATTTTCTGACTAGTTTGAGAATGTAGCATGAGAGCACTGATCTGTGGTCGTAGTGTTTTTACAAGCTGGCATAATATTTTTAACAATACTAAGAGACACCCACATTAGACACTGTCTACTTAATAAACTCAATGTATTTATAACCGCAGAGATTTCACCTCTTGGTTAACTATTGTTAAAAGTGCACATACTGTACTATGTGCTAAAAATGTAACTTAAATCAAATTGCATATCCCCAGACACATGGTCATGCACTGGTTGAATTCCTCTTTTCATAATGAAAACAACATTCTTTATTTATCCTTTTAAAAACTGAATCCTTAATTCAGTAGGTCAGGTCATTGACAGAATGTACTGAAATCTAGTAGAATTGATCAAATTAATAGAATTGTATAAGCTATATTGATACTCATCTGTTTCACAAGCATTAACAAAAAATATTTAACTTGAAACTTGAAAGTAAAATAAGTATGCCTGTACTTTGGTTTACTGTAGATCATTATTATAACTTTCAACAAACAACCAACATTAATGACAGTATAAAAAAATCTGGGGAGAATTCACCCCACTTTAGAATCAAACCCAGGTAGCAGTAGTACAGTACTTGCATCTCTTCCTATCAAGAGCGTACAGAGCTAATTATAAGAAACATACAGAAAGACAATACATACGAAGATCTACGGCTCGGAGTTTTTTTCCTGCTGTTCCAAGCAGAGGTACTGGTCTGCTCCTGGACATGAAAACAATATACTGTATTCATTTTTATCAACTTTGTCGTCTAAAGAGTATATTTTCAACAGCTATTACTTCAGAATCTTGGTTTTCAATAGGTTTTGATTATAGATACAAAAAGGTTAAAAAAAACATCGGAAGAGGACATTTTCCATGCACATGTGACTTTGGAAACTTTTGTAAAATTTACCTGATAATGAAATCCTGAGTGTTCGATGGACTGCACTAAGTTTGACGGGCTTTCATGATGCCGAAGCCTGTGCGCCACAAAACTCATTTGGTCAAAACCTAAAAAAAGTGCCCAAAATAATTGAGAAGAAGGCAATTTCTTTAGTGAGTAATTACTTCATTTAACCTATGTAAAAACAATGATCTCTTGTAATGTAGTGCATAAAAATCTCTCAAAAGGCTTAACTCACTGTACATGACAATATCAGAATGTGAAAACCTGACAGAACAGTAGTTTAAAGAGTCCAGTTGTTTCTATACTGAGAACTCAGTTGATTACACTTTTAAATGCCTAAAAAGGACTGTACATGAAGTGAGTTATCACTCAATGGAAAGATATAAAATACCATGTAGCCAAAATAACTGCAGAAATAGAAGTATTCAATAAAAGTAGACAATTTGTACATCACAAAATGCAAACCACAATCCAAGATTGTTACCATGCAAGCGATAGACCTCCCGTGGAATTCATTTCAACATTGTTTCAAAAGAAACTCCAAGGAGACATATTTAAGAAGCTAAAATGAGTGAGAGTTGCGGTTCACAGACCTTTTCTAACATAAATGTACTAGGATAAACCTAAGAGCTGAGCAAGATGTTATCCTCATGAGAGAAGTATGCAATTAAATCACTGCAGGAAACAGTTTCTTTTGCATTTGCTCTTATGAAGGTGAATACATTTTCATATAAATTAATAATTCAAGACAAACTGCCTAGTTCACCCTATTTTGAATACACATACTGACACATACAAGCTATATTATGAATTTAGGTTAGCTACACATTTTTTATACATATATACTTCCAAAATTAATTTCATACAATTCCTAAATTCTGGTGTACTATCATCCCAGTAAACATCACTTCACATTTAATACATACTCAGCTGATTGAAGCTGGTTATATTTGACCAGTCTCTTTTTAGATTTTGTTCTATCTGGAGATTCTCATCCTTCTGCAGTGCAGATTCAGAATTCATGCAAGGGATAGGTGAGCATCCATGTACTGTTATCACCTGGAGATTAAATAAATGAAATAAATTGCTTACATTTATATAATGTTTTTCTGGACACTCCACTCAAAGCACTTTACAGGTAATGGGGACTCCCCTTCACTACCACCAGTGTGCAGCCCCACCTGGATGATGCGACGGCAGCCATTGTGCCCAGAGTACACTCGTCACACATCAGCTATTAGTGGGGAGGAGAGCAGAGTAATGAAGCCAATTCATAGATCGGGATTATTAGGAGGCCATGATTGGTAAGGAACAATGGAAAATTGGCCAGGACGCCGGGGTTACACCCCTACTCTTTTCAAGAAACAACCTGGGATATTTAATGACCACAGAAAGTCAGGACCTCGTTTTTATGCCTCATCCAAAGGATGGCGCCTTTTTACAGTGTAGTGTCCCCATCACTACACTGGGGCATTAGAACCCACACACAGACCTCAGGGTGAGCGCCCCCTGCTGGCCCCTCTAATTCCTCTTCCAGCAGCAATCTTAGCTTTCCCAGGAGGCCTCCCATCCAGATACTGACCAGGCTCACATCTACTTAGCTTCAGTGGGCGGCCAGTTGTGAGCTGCAGGATGATACAGCTGCTGGCAACAGACAGCCTATTGCTGTTATTAAGCTACATTTCTTGTCACATGACTTAGCATTTTGACAACTGTTAATTAATCTAATATTTGGTAATAAACATACTTAATATTTGTACAGTATATCATACCTGGCAGTTTATTTTCAGGAAATTTCAAACTGTTGTTTACATTTTAAAAGAATATTTTTTTAACTGAATGAGAATTCAGTTTATTATTATCTTATTGAAATTGGGAAAAAGCTCAAACAAACAAGACAACATGTGTGATTATCCCTGTAGCAGACAACCAATGTGTCCATTTACAATGGATTAGACCACGGAACAATATGGGCCCAAAAAGTTCATATAATACTGATCTGTACTGATACTGCTGTCTTAGCTATTACGTGCATTTCTACTGCCTTTCTCTCAACAATTGTGTTCCCACACAAAACCCCATGTTTTCTCAAAATGAGGCACAAGAAAGTGTGTATTTATATACAACTGAGGCACAAAAGAAAAAACCTTACATCAAATGGATTTTATCAACTATTTTAAAAATGTACTGTCTTTACAGCAGATTAATATCAAAAGTACAATTAAAAGAATCTCAAGAATGAGATTCCAAATGAAAATCAGAGTATTACAAGTTTAGCATTGGGTAAGACCTCCTCAGCAGCAGTGACACAAAGGACTGAGCAACCTCTGAATGGACTGTGGACTATTACACCACCCTTCTTGTATTTCTACAAACAGCTGGCAAAGATTGGCTGATGGCAATTGTTTTCTATTGCTGCCATTGGAGACTTGGTTCCACAGTTAATCAATCGAATTCAGGTCTGAAGTAAAAGCTTGATACGGTAAGATCTTGACATAGTCTACAAGTCTAAGATCTGAAAATTGTTTTCTAGAAGTCATGCCATTGTATTCCTAGCACTGTGAGGTCTTCTATTGTCCTTCTGGAAAACTGACACTTGTACGTAGACGTTTAAGAAAAGACGCAGAAGTGGTGCAGTAACTGGGAGAGAAACCATTTAGAAACGATTCCACGTGAATGGACTGAATTGCTGACTAATAAAAGTGAAGTGGAAAATAAGAATAAGAGACTTTTTAGTCTCTTATTTTTAAGGACTAATAAAGAACTTGAAATACTGACTGTCTGTCTGTTCCACTTGCTACAGCTGAATAAATGAGGAAGGCTCCGAAGTGGAACCCCCCCAAAATTGTGGCTAACCCAACAATCCTTGAGAGCAGCGGGCAAACACAACACCAAATGAAAGTCAGTAGAGCTGTCCGAAATACCCAATGGACAGTTTGAGAGTCAGTTTCCTAAAAGGCTCCTACAGAGACAGCAGGACAGAAAAAAATAGAGAAAGGAAGAGACAAAACACCAGAGAAAGACTGGAGCCTAAGGATCAGAGACATGAAAAAGGGCAGAAATTAAATGAAAATGAAGAAGAGGAGGAGGAAGTGGGGAATGGGAGGAGAAACCAACTTCAGCGGATCTGGACATGGACCTAGGGGTGACAGCATCAGAAACAGCTGGAAGAAAAGAACAAAACATCATGGGGGTTGCTGGGATTCCTGGAATAGAAGAACTACTTTTTCAAGGTGGAGCAAGGTGGAAGCAGTGCCACCTCCTGTTGGAACTGCAGAGTAATGCACAGGAATGATGGTGGAAGAAATTCAGAAATAGAGACGGGAAGATAAGGCCTGTCTCTGGCAAGACTATGCGCAAATTTGCAAGAAAGAAGTGAAAAGGGGTGTGAGATATTTATGCATACTGTAAGTGAGTGGAAATAGGTGAGATTAGAATTTATACTCCTTCCACAATTCTGTACAAATCTCAATTAAAGAGACTTAGAGCGACAAAGAATGCATTAATCAAATTTAAATTCCCTTTTAAGGGTGCTATACAGTACCTGTTCATTTATTTCTGTTTTGTGCCAAAAATAATTTACAAACTTATGTCTCTCAAATGCTAACATGATCTGATATGACGAGATGAAGATTCTTTTCAAATGAGCACAAGTAAACCTCTGTTTGTGCCATACTTACTGGCAAAGGGAGGTTTGGAGTTGTCTCTTGGATTTTCACAGTCTTTCTCTTAAGATTCTGCATTTTTGGTACAGGCTTTGCGCATGGGTATATTTCCGAAGATTTAGACGTCTCTGAGACACACATAAAAAATAATGATTAACTTTTGCTTCTATTTTGTGTGTGAAGATGTGCTGTAAGGCATTCCTCGACCATTTAAACAGAATTATCACTAAAAAATGATACAGTTCTTTTCAAAGAAATATGCACTAGCAAAAGCATGAAATTTTTATTTTACTTTTAAATTTAAAAGGTTTACTGAGGCATAATAGAAAAAAACAGCACAAAGTATTAATTCATATTAAAATATATTTGCCTTCTTAATTGATTATATATTTCTGATATTTTACTAAAACCTGCGTCGTCACAATAACATTATTTTTGTACACTTTCTCTAGCTTCTCTATCACATACCGTAATTTAGGTTTTGTAACTTTTTTGCCCATTCAGTCCAAATTCCCTTTATAACTCCTCTAATGTTATTAGAGAAAAATATTTAAGTAAAATACATTTAATAAACTTTTAATTTTTTTCAGGATCATTACCTCTGTCTTTGCTAGGGTTCAGCATCATGTTTCCTCGCTCTGCTCGTAGGCTGTGGCTTTTCCAGTTTTTCTCCACAGTGTTGCCACACACCAAAGTACAGCTTTGCTGGCTTGGAGGTGCTATCTCCATACTGACTGAGCTGCAGACCAAGGAGTGAGAGTTCGTGACCTGATCTTTCTGGAGGCTGTTTTCACTCTCATCTCTGTTGCATGTTGTAAGATGGCTCTTTCTGCCATATCTCATCTGAGGAAGCTGGAATATTCCAGGCTCATTGCCCTCACTAAAGGCCAAATTGACAAAGCCTCCTTTACTTTCTTCAGCATGACAGTCTGACATGAGTGTTTGATCACTGACTTCTGTGGAGGTTCCTAGACTGAAAGTTTTGTTTTCTTGCCAGGTATCACTATTTTGTGCAACCTGAATGTCAGGGATCCCTGTTTTTATTAGAACTTCACCTGACTGTCTCATGGAAGAATGAAGAGTCTCAGGGATAGACTCTGGCAATGAGTTGCCCGCAGATTTAATGTTTGTAAGGGAGTTATTCTTACAGCAGGAAAGCATCAATGGAACACACAACACTTTAGACTGATGGTCTTTGTGGACCTCAATCAGTATTTTGCCTCCCTCTTTTTCCTCCTTATCTATGGAATTTAGAGCTCTAACTTTGGAATGTGTTTGCTGCTCCTCATTACTGTTGCACCCCAGAGTTTGCAGAGGTTGTGGATCATGTCCCAGGGTTCTTAGCAGAGAAGGTGGGGTGCTGCAGTACTTCTTCTTAATTTTATTGTTCAGGTCTTCCACTGACTGGGCATAGTTGCTCCAGCTGTGAGGAAGCCTTTCACAGGAGTGATGCCTCTTGTGGCCAAGCAGTTCTTCCTCCTCTTTCAAGCTGCCTGCTGCAGAGATGACAGACAAAGTGTCTACTGTCAAGGCAGAGAGGTCCTGAAGGTGACCCAGCTGATTATCCAAAGACTGAAGTGTTTCCTTGACAAAGAACACTTTCTCAGCGACGTCCTTCAGCTGGAGACACATCTCTTCTACTCTGATATCAGAAACAAAAAGTAAAATCTTATATTTAAGTATAACATGATCCTAAACCAATTTGGTGGTTTGGTGCAACCAATAAAGTGATTATGATCAATACAGAACATAAAAATGAAATATTAAAAGTCATCAATATGGGCAGCATCAACAAACAAACGATTAAGCTAAAACAAGAAGAAAGACATCAGGATTTGATCTGTGAATATCTTACTTTTCCAGTGTTGTTTTTATTCTATGGACAGTATTGCAATTAAAGTTCTCATTCTTTTCATAAAGGTACATCACAACACACTTTTCTTCAAAATCATGGAGCTTCTTCAAATCTTCGATGCTCAAGTAAAGCTCTATAAAGGAAGAGATACTGTGTTTAGATTTTTCTCATTTAGTTTTACAGTGATAAGATAAAAGCTTTAGTGTAGAATATAAAGCAGAAAACAAGGGACAAAGCAGCCTTTAACTCCTGTTAACATCATTTCGAGCTCACTCAGAGTAATAAAGACTTAAAACATCTTGGCCAGCTTTTTCACCGGAACACCTTTGCCACTGTCCTCATCATCTGCAATATTATCTACTCGCAGATGGCTTTTCACAACCAGAACCTTTTCTTGTATACATTCTATTACACTCTTCTTTAATGTGATGGACATCACATTTCTAAAATCCATATCCATTTTTAAGAGACACATCTTAGAAAAGGTTGTTAAAATGAAGTCTGATACATACAATAACTGTTTCAAAGCTCCGATAAGCAGGACTTGTGAGTACAGCTGGCTAGCATGTATTCATGCCATTCCCAGAACTTACTCAGTCCAACGTGCTTTCCATGTTCCAATTCCTTTGACTGATGTTGATAGATGGTGGAGATGCACAGAGATAAGTGACTCAGGAGGATGAAAGGTGGTGGGAGCCATGGCTTTTCATGGTAAGTCATGATGTATCGGTATCGATTGTATTTCCATAGCTTGTTGGAAATAGATTTCATTTCAAAGTACACATTGCTGTAATGTTAATCACAACATTTAAGAAAAAAACATAAATATTTTGTGAATGTTAAAGACAGATAATGTAATTATAATGAAAGGGTGAAGTCTGCTAAAAGCTTTTTCGTGACACCACTGAAATAAAAGCATCAACATAAACCATGCATGTGTATATAATTTAGTTGGGAAAGGAGATTGTCTTATTACTATATTGTGCTGATAATACCTCTTGACTTCACCCTTTTCCTTCTTTTCACTTTATAAAAACAAAAAAGGGGAACAATATACCCTCTCCCTATTTCCTCAGGTAATGTATGATTGTTTACAATTCAATTATCACTGTAAAAAGTATAACTTATTAAATAGTAATTATCACAAGTGTATAAAATTGTACACAATAAATGGTGAAAAATAAAAGATCTTTCAAAAATGTTTTTAGTAATAAGCAAGTACCTTGAAATTATCTACTTTTAACTACAGGATAAATGGTCTTCCTCTCCTGATACAGTATACTGTATGTACAGTATATGTACGTATACACTGTATATACTGTAAACACTATATATACATACAGTACATCATATCTCTGATTAAACTTACTTGAAGAAGGCTATTAGGATGTTGACCATTATGATGTATTGAAAAAACAGGTAGACTGCTTGCAGAAATGGAGTTAGGAAAGCACCAGGAGAACATATATTGTTTTCTGCGCAAGCTGTTGAAAGACAAATAAGAAACACATTAAACAGTATAATGAAATCTGTACAAACAACCATACATAACCTAAAGGTAATATCTGAAGGGTAAAGGCTTGCAATAGCCTTACATTATTTACAAAATTACAGCAAACCACTAAGAATTCTGTGAATGCATCTGATGTATTTCCAACAACGCTACACCTCCACAGATTACAAAATGTATAAATTGGTTTCCTTGAATAGGAGTCATATGGTGTTAGAGGCAAAAATGGATCAGAACATACTGTACAGTAATGCACTGGATAAAGGTTAACAAATGTAGAAGTACCCTACCATCAATTTCCCCTGCATAGACTTCACCAAATATCATCCAGTATGGCTGGAACACAATATCTTTAGCCAGTGTCCAGGAAGGGGGCTCATTGGGTGAGAGAATAGCTTTTCTGGATACCCCAAAGCTAAGAAGTACAATTGCCATCATTATAACAATGTAAAACATGTTGGCAGTCTGTAAAAAGAAAACATATTTATTAAACATAATATGCCATATACTTTAAATATTCCTTTTTATTATCAAGCCGATGGACACAGACTGAAATGCTTATTAATGTCTTTTGTACCAAGCTTATTTTATGCTGAAACAACTCTTCATTCACACTAAGAGTGCATTTCTCTTTAATCATCACTTTGAGGACATTTCAGATCCTCAGATCTGAAAAAAAAAAGATTGTATAGCTATACATCCCAAGTAAAATAAAGTCACCATACCATTTTGATTGGTCAAGTAAAATTGGATATAAATTGATTTGGAACATAGATGGGGAATGAAGTAAATGAGTAGCATGATGCAGGAGATGGAAAGGATATCAGCAAATAAGTGACAGTAAAGTCACAAAACCCTAGCTTACATGAGACTGGGACTCTGTGGCGGACAGTAGAAGGCACTGAAACAACCTGAAAAGAGAAGCCCGAGGTGAACTGTGCTAATACGGAAGTAGGATAGGGACCAGAAGTGAGGTATCATTTGTTGAAATCTGTTAGAACTGAATGGCTGAGTATGGATTCCAAGAGAACTTTTAAAAAATAAGAAATGGCAGCTACAATTGCAGGTGAAAGCTTGGGGATGAGTTGACTTGCGGGCCATTTCTGCACCAATTGGACATCAATGGAAGGAGTTAAAGAGGACTTTTTTGACGTAAAACCGTTGGCCACAACTGAGACACAGGCAGCAGGGATGGAGAGGGCTATGAATGAGGAAGCCTGGACCCAGTGCAGACTGATATCATGCTAACGCACCCTGTAGGTAGAGTGTCAGTGAGGATGAAACTTGAAATGAAACAAAAAAAGACAGGCTGACGCCAAAGGTGTAGTGAGTTATAAGTCCAACCAGAAATGTAGATAAAAACAGGGGGAGGAAAGGATGGAGTGAGGAAATCAGTAAAGAGGGGGTGGGGGGTGATGGTATTAGAAGAAAAGGAAGAAAAGACCAAGTGCCATGCAGAGAGCCTTTTTTAGCACGTTTTATCATTCTTTGAGAAGAGGCGAATAAGCAACTCCCTTCCTTGCTTGGAAGAAGTGAGTGTAAACCAAAACTTTTTTTTCTCTTTAACCTCTCTCTAGTCTTGTTAAGATTAGAATTTGACCTCCTTCTGAACTTTTGTTTAACAAAGCCTATTCTATTTTTTCCATTTTTTTTTTTTGTGTGAGCTTACAATATTTCAAGAACTCAAGTTCTTATGTTGGCTTCCTGAGGCTTAAACAAATACTCTGACCAGTGTGTCACAAATATGTTTTCTTTTCAATTATATTCTGTACATCTTTATTTACAGGTTAAAATTTAAATTAATGAGAAAATCAATTATTGGTGAAAGGACAGTTTCTCTAAAACTCACCATCTTAGCTATCATCATCAGATATGGGCCTGCATGCTGGTTGACTGCAAACAAATCCAGAAGCCGCACATACCAAAAAATTATGTCCAGGCAGTAAATTATTCGTCCTGCTGTTCTCATGGGCACATCTTCCCATCGTAACCCAAAGCCAACGACAAATAAAAGGATGGCTAAGAAATCTGTGCAGTTCCAGTACTCACTAAACCAGACATTTATCTTCTTAATGGGTTTTCCTGGCTCTGACATGAAAACCTTCAATAAGCCATAAATAAAAATTAGCAAAAGAAAAAAGAGCCATGTCACACAAGGATGTCAACATTATTAGTTATTAGAACAGGAAAGTTACTCCAATTTAATCCATTCCTTACAGTTTTTGTTGTTTAATATAAAGTAAATGATATTCACCAGTTGACTGATTTTGTCATACAGTACAATTTAAATTGTATTTGATCATTAGTCTGTCTACAAAAGTGGCACAAAGAACAGAAAACTATAGTAAGGAAATATAGTAATTAGTGTGCATTACCAAGTTACTTTTATCAATAGTAGGAAGTTAAGAAAAGTTGAAAAAATAACTTAAACTGTAAATGTTTGCAGTGCTTAACATGAATATCAAATTCAGACAGAAAATTTAAGATTGCTGTAACAGTTTTAAATCCATAATTGCAGCAGGTATCTGATAAAATCTTAGCAAACAAATTGTTAGGTGATACATAACCCAAGGCAGTTCTTAGAAATCATCTGACACAATTTAAGTGAAATACATGTTCTCCTTTCTGTTGCAATATCCATTTAAATGTTATTCCGTATCAGAACACATCAGCCCCTCCGCACTGGATGTAGGAAGTTAACAGGACTTTTCTTGTTCAACGTTTTTGAAAACCAGGTTTGATCATAAATCATATATAATCAACGTGATTAACTACAAACATTTGGTACAAACAATGAAGGCAAAACACATTCTTTAAAAATCACATTGTCAACACACGCATTTCTGATTTTGTTATAAAATGATATACTGTATAAAACAGAATGTTAACCAAATGTTAAATAATACTGACTGCAGATAGATCACTTTCAGAATATAATTTATTAAAAAACAGTAAATCCAGGACATACTATATGCATTTACTTCCTCACCTCTCTGACCTTCTCAACTGCTGTAGTAAACACATAAATGATCACTAGCCACTCCTGGATGGTGGGCTTTGGCTCCATTTTTACTAATACTGTGTACGTAAACAGCATCAGGAAGATCATATAGGCAATCTGCAGGAATATGAACCACAACACATTTTCAAAAATTAATATACAGTAACACAGCAGGTGTTGGTCTTGTACTACTGAGATAACATAGTAAAAAAAAAGAAAAGTGGTTCAGATAACATCTAAATGGCAGTAAATCCTAAACTTGTAGTTAAGAAATAAGTGAGCGATTACTAACTGTGTGAAACCAGAATTTTACAATTGGTGCATTGTAAAATTCATAGACTTTCCGTGTCCAGAAAAGTCCTTTCTGCTGTGTAGTCAGAGAGAAATCTATATCTTCTGGTTTTTCGGGTCCGCGTTCAGGATCAGAGTCATTCTACAGTGAAGAAAAGTATTTAATTAGCATTTGAAATAAATACTGAAAATGAAAATATATATACTGTATACTCTGCAACAGCATCTTAATGTTATAGTAGATTGAAAAGATTTTACACGATTATTACTATTAAATGATTTTACATGATACGATTAGAATAATCCGTATAAAAAACTGACAATTAAGTAATTTCATCATCCTTTTTGTCTTGTTTTTTCACTAATTTGAAAATAAAAGAAATAGGAAAAGACAGTTCATTTACCTGGGCTCTGAATGCAAAAGTGTGTGTAGTGCACTTGGGTAAAGCCTCATCAACATTGTGTGGTACAGATCTTGTTTGATCCACATTGAATATATACTGTACAGTACATATGTGTAAATAAGGAGTTTGGGGATTCTGTTTTAATGAAATGCAGAGCTGAGACATGAAATTAATCATGGTGCATATACAGTAAATAGTTAAATTGTCATAGTATAAATATACAGTACAGGTTAGTGTTAGGACAAAGAAATAATAAAGAAGCCAGAATTAACTAATTAAAATCCAGGAATTACTGTCTTTCTAAAGAATCCTTGTTAATTAACAGAATGAGTGTTCTCATCCTCTCTTCTCTGAAAAACAAAACATGAAAATTTTGTATTCACCACTTGTGGCTGATCTTTCCCATTGGATCCATGACTCCCACTCTCCAAGTTTAACTGGTGGGACTCCTGAGACTGAGGAATATGGGACATTTCTGCCTTACTTTTGAACTCAAGCATCAAAATGGTGGGAGGCAACAAGATGCTCAAAATAACCTGAAGGTACAGAAGCACAAATACTGAGACATTTTCCAGATCGAGTTAAAACATGAAAATAAGCATACATTTTGCTTATGCCAAAATATTTTTGCCAATCAATTTTATATAACAACATATTGCTGTGTTCAGCTCAAAGACACTAGCTAATTATAAGTGTGTAGATTTTTAAATAATGTACTTGCATATTGTAGTCATTTCTTTATTTGTATTATTTTCAATGGGTGGCCAACATTTTCTAATTCAAATGTTTAGAACATACAACACAACAATTTTTGTATTCATATTACTTTTAATACATTTTATACATTCTTCAAATCTCACAATTGTTAGGAGCATTTTTGAATAGTAATGTATCTGGCTGAACAGTTCACAACTGTTTTATCTTATCTAATGCAGAGTAAGTTGCTGGTATACCCAACAAAGACCTGATATTCAGTGCTTCCTTCTTGAAATATAAACAAATGTCTAAATACAGCACATAGTGCTATTATTACTATTAGTAGTAAGAACATTAAAGTTTATTCTGCTCAACTGGTTATTAATTCTTAATTGCATGTACAATGTACTCCATGAAGTACAATAACTGTTATGTGACATAAGGGATTATTTAACCACGAATCCATTTGAACTAAGGGACACATATTTTTGGATATACAGTACTGTATGTATCAGCTTTTATTTCAGATGGATTTTAAAATGGGCTAATACAAGTTGTATAAATTATGTAAATTATGCTGAGGCAATAACTGTAAATATGAACCCCAATATATTAATTTTTATATTTACTGTTACAGCAGATTCTTTCCAGCTTCTTACTGCTTCGGTTTTGAGTTAAAAATGCAAACACATAATGTTTGTCAGTTCTGATTTTCAGTTATTCCCAGGGTGGGGTGGGAGTATTTATTAGTGTTTTACCTTATACCAGGAATTTTTTCTCATGTTTAAGCGTCCCATCCATAGTTCAGTTAGTAACATCTGCGTACAGGTGTGAGACACAAAGGGACGCAGCCCAGAGGACACTGCCATCTTCAGGCAGGTGAAGTTGCTCCAGTTCTTCATCTCATAGGTGAGCAGCTTCATGGCCATTCTCTCATTTTGTCTAAAAGCATTGTCCAGGAGATCCACTGCCAGCTGACCAAACTCTCTAATAAATAAGAAGGAGAAATGATTTTAAAATTTGAAGAAAAAAATAATAAGGTAATACAAACTTTATGGTATAATAGTGCTCTTTTGAGTAAAGCATTTACATTTTATTGCTATTTATACTGAATATTTGTGTGCTATAGATAATATTCCACTATATAATGTTACTTTCTTTGTGTGACCAACTTAACTTTTTATTGAAAGCATTTTTCATTTTAAATAGTATTTTGGACTGAATAGGTATTGCTCAACTGTACATTTGTAAGTATAAAATGCAAATTCCATTATATCTCTAATCATACTGTTAATGATAAAGTTCAATATCTTACAGCATCTTATACCTAGCTGTTTTTAGGACTCTAAAATTGTTCCAACAAATGGTTTTTGGGAGGTTAAATTCTAATCTTGTACTTCTGCTCTTCTATGTATAAATCTGGCCAGGAGTCCACAACTCTACGGACATCTTTTGAAACTCCCTTCACCTTCACGTTTCACCACAGCTTCACTGTTGCAGCAGCCTCCCTAGTTCATTCCTTGTAAGTGAGGGGGGGTGATGATGACAACTTTGACCTTTTGTCAGGCCTGTCATTTTCTCAGCCAGGTATGTTAACACCAAAGTATTAAGTATGCTATTCTTTTATTTGTTTATTTGTATTTGCACTCCATTGCAATTAGAATTTGACCAAACTACTGCAATATTGTACTGTATGTGGATGAAAGTGCACATACTGTGAGTATATCTTTAGTTCTTCTGAAGTGTTATCCCCCATGTTGCTCTCCTTGGCTTCGTTTGCCATAGCTCTGTATAGTTTGCAGGCCACTACAGCCTTTGCCATGGCCTCTTCCCCATGTTGCCAGAGAAACAGAGCCATCTTTTGTCGCTTCATCAACACTGCCCACACAAACAGATCATTGAAGCTGTAAGTAAACAGTGGCGTTTCATTTTCCTGGGAAAAAATCAGGTCCGCTTTTTGCTTCTTTTTCGACTTTTGATGAAAAAGTGTCTTTTCCTAAAGGAGAGTAAAATAATGTTAGGATAAGTCTACACTACACTAAGGGACTGCAAATTATCTTTCATTATATATTTTTTTCACGGTAAAAGAAGATTTAAACACATCTTAATATTTAAATTGAACAATTTACTCTTCATGCCATCAGTATTACTTTGGAACTACTGGAATAATGTAGTTGGTTGTTACATAAATTGTCATTTGCATTTATAATTTTGACTATTTTCATGAATAATAAATCTGTTCATATAAAAAAAATCATTATAGTTACCTTGCGTTTGTAAGGCTGAGCTGTTCTGAAGAAATATGATTGTGGTACGCTGTCTTCATTTCCATGCCTGCCATAGAGCTGTTTGCTATCATTGTTAAAGCTGACAGAATTTCCTTGACTGATTTTCTGAATGAGGAAAACAATACAAAATGTAAAGCACTATTTACATGAAGAATTAACCATAAACATATTTGGAATATTTTTATAAAATGAACATAATGTATTACAAAATGTAGATTTATAGGTTGGAAACATTGACACCAATTTGAAATATATAAAACTTCTACTTTCGGAATACAATTGTCCACACTCATTTTTTTGCATGAAAATGACGTTCTTGGAGAAGAAACACCTATTATTTTTGTATTTCACACCAGTTATAAAATATGACAGTGAAATGAATTACTTTCACCTATTTTACACAATGAAAATATATTGCTGTTGTATGAATTTCTACACTGTAATGAGCAAGTCAGTGTAATGATGATACACTATAACAATTTTAAAACAAAGAAAAAGGACTCAGATTTACACGAGTATTTGTTTGAATATAGTACAATATTTCTTATGTAAGAACATAAGAATGTTTGCAAATGAGAGAAGGATATTTGACCCAGGATATAAAGGAACAACTAAAGGTTTATTCCATGCTGAAGAGAGAAGAAAAGAAACACAATGTGACATACCCAAAGAAGGCTCCATTCCTGAAACGTTGTGTTACTTTTCTTCTCTTTTCAGCATGGAACAAACTTTTACTTGTTCCTTTGCAGCCTACACATGCTGACACAGCCACCTACTTGAACTACTTTGCCCCACGATTTTTTCTAGCTTTTAGATTGATGTGATTTCAATTCCTGAAAGAAGGGATAAAATGGTGGCTGAACAGTTTGTTACAGCTCCTGCTTACCTTTTTCTGTCTGTAGAGGCTATTGTAAAGAACTCGGAAATGCTTGCGTGTATAGGTACTCCGATATGCTCCCCCAATTAAGTATTCAATCACCAGACCAACATCAATCAGTGATATCTTGTAGTCTGGCGGAAGATGACTCTGTAGATGGGTTATCATTTAAAATATTTAAAATTACAGAATAAATATAACTTTTTCAAATCTAGTGTGCATATATTCAATGATGACTGGAAGAATCTTTGTAAACTGGATTAAAATGATTGCTCTTCTTAATCTTCTTATACATTTGACTGCTGCAGTCACAGCTACACATACTGAAGGTGTTCTGTCAGACAGCGTTAGCAGTGTAGTGTCATTAATTTTAGATAACTTTTGTATTGTCTTCCAGGGTGCATTTATGCAGACTATTTCTTCATGTTCACTGCAGTCTTTTTGCTCTCTGGAAATGATACTCAGTTCCATAGTGTCACTCTTCTATTAGTCTACTTTTATCTGTTATCTTGGCTCAATGGAGACAAGGCCGTATTCTAATATCTGTATCTAATATATGTCAACATTTTGTGGAATTCACAATGGGATTTCCAAATAAAGTTTCCTAGAATTAACATAGATGAAAAAAATAAGGAAAGAAAGTCCAGTAATATGAAAAGAACTTTGTCTGTTAAAGTGCAGAAATCTTAACAATATAGCAAAAAATTGTATTCATATCTTTATTTATTATGATTTTATTTGGAATCACAAGTTATGATTCATTTAATCTATTAAGCTCTCTTGACACATGTGTTAACACTGTTGGGAGGAGAACACAAAATAGACTTTCTTTCTGAATATTCACATATCACAGCCTGTAATCATATGTTAAGACCATAAATCCACTGGGAGGATTCAGTAACAACACAGCAAGCTCATAGACTGCAGACACATGGGGGGTGTTGAGGGACAAGGTGAGAATGACCTAGCTGACTCAAAGCCACCTGACCTTAGTGATATACAGTATGTTTATGAGGTACCTAAAATGTTTCTGCTATGTATCTCCTTACCTGCTTCACATCCTTTACCAGGTGATATAAGAGACTGTGTGTTGGGCCCTGCCACTGTGGAATAAAAAGATATTTACAGTTTAGAAAGAAGGGCCATACTGAATGGTAAGCATCCATCCATACATTTTGTAACTGCTACTTACAATTCAGGGTCACGGGGAGCTGGAGGTAACAGCACATTAACCTTAGGGATTTCTTTGCACAGTAAACAGTACTAGTTTTAAGCAATAACTCTGGTTTAAAGTGACATATATGAGTTAATAATTTACCATGGTTTACGATTAACTATACACAAAACTAATAAACGTTTCAACACTTCTGTACCTTTTGGTTAATCCTTCTCCTGTGCCGGCTGTTTGCTATTGCTTTTTAAAGATATCACCATTGAATATATATTACTTATTGATCTCTTTAGATAATATAAAAGGCTTTGTACAGTAAATATGCTACATGATAATATAAGTACAAATTGATAAGTATATAAGTACAAATATAATTATTCAATCCACATAGTGTATATATGATAAGTAGTTAACTATACAGTAGAAATGCAATGAATACAATCATTAGTATTTTATGTTATTATACAAGGTCTTATATCAATTTAGAGTCTGTTAATCTGTTGCTTTAGAAACATCTGCCTTGTACTGGAATGCCTTCTATCAAGTGGATAACTACTGCTTAATCGCAGTAGTAATCCAACTTAATAGCTGGATTTTAGAAATGAAGTGGAACAAACAAAATAATCCCTATCCAACATTAAGTATAAGGTTAATTAGAAAATAAGCAGCTGGAAGACAAAAAGAACATCACCGTGTTGTACAACTCCTCCAATCGGGAGACTGTGAGAAAACGGTTCATGCACATTCCATTTTCTATCAGGAGCTTGACAAAATTCACTCGGTCCATCACAAGGGCATCAAGCATAGCCTGTTCCAAGGAACCAACCTGGACATGTATAGTACAAGAAAAACTCAACAATCTGCATTATAAGAAGCAAAAATTGTATTTAGTTTAATTAGTTATTTATTTAAATTAGACAGATTTATCATATCCTTAGTATTTTTTATTTCTTATATTTAAATGGAATTATTTTCATTGGGATAATGTATCTCAAGCTCCTGCATACTTTGCTTTTTATTAATATACTTTATTGTGTAAGTTAACTTTAGGACCCTCACCTAAGTTCTCTCAAGACTTCAAATGCAGTGGTAAATATACAGATTTTATTTTTAATTTTTGCATATACTCAGCAGGAATTTACATTTACATCTCATAGCAAAATAAAAATAAAATCATCATTTTCAAACAATGTAATTCATTACATCACAGTACAAATACCTTCCAGTGCTGTCCATAGACCAGAATGTGGTTTTTTGCAATATCAACTTGATCCCATGCCAATGCAATGCTTAATTGATCAGATGCTGATGCATGGGTTCCTGGTAAAACATGGGATAAGAAAAGTTGTGTTACAGTATGAGAGAATTTAGATTTCATATGCACAGACAGGAAACAGACATTTTAATACCTGTAGATCACATTGAAATCTTGTTAGGAAAATTATATATAAGACATAAAAAATATTTGTCATTTTAAAACAAAATTTCAAAGTGCATCTGTTTCATTTACCTCAGGCATTTTACCTCAGGTACTTCCTTTACTACTCCTGTGTTACTTCTCAATTATAAGGTTACTGTGCTTCCTTATGCACAGGTCCCATTTTGAAGAAAAAGAAAGAAATTTGGAGAACATTTCCTTTCTGAGGTCTGTAGTTTTACAAAGTCAGGCTTCACAAATGAGATTTTCAATGTTAAAGTAAATCAGACTTTTCATGACTGTAGACAGTAACAAAAGTTTATTTGAAGAGTCCGTTACCTTTTAATATAACAGTTAACATAGCCGTGCATACATCTTGCTGATCGTCTGATTCTGCATCAAAGACAGTGATCTAGTTTAAGGGAGAAATTCAATGTTACATATATGCATTATATATTACACAATTCTCACTTGCTTAAAGACAAGGTATTTGCATTAATAAATGTGTTGTTTCAACATGTAGTTGTATTAAAAATAATTTTACTTTATTTTACTTTACTGTTAATAATAAAATAATATTAAAAAAATAAAAAATAATATTGTTCATTGAAAGCAGAAGTTCACAGTTTTTGGAGTAAAAAAGGTGCAAGATGCTCTCCATGAATCTCAACAAAGTATTTTTGACATTTTGTGTGTCTTAACTGTACTTTTTTGATACTTCACGTTCCTTTTCATACAGTATGGTTAATCACATTAAAGATTAATAAAATGGTGAAGAGAATGTAGGATAAATGCTTTTTATACAGTATATTCCCAATCTTAACTTGATCTTTGAGTGATACACTTCCAATTGTTTAGAGCTTGCTATGTCCTGGGACCAAATTATTATCCCCAGTTTTATAAATATGTAAATACATTTTGCACTTATTATTCCAATTATTCTGTTAACTCTCGTTTTAGAAATTCAAAAGCTTTTGATTTGTGCCTGACTGCTAACTATACAATTCTGTTTGATTGAGATCTAAGCTAGTCTTAGATCCCCAGCCTCAGAGCACTGCTGAGTTGGAGAATCACAGGTCTCAAAAGCAGGGTGTCAACACATGCAATCCACAGTGGACTGTGATACAAAACAATTATTATTTACGGCTTACTGTAGTGCTGATGCTGACACTGATACTGATGCATAATCAGACGAGTGCTGTTTTAAAGAAGCATACAACAGTATAGACAATTTTCTGGCAGTTAAATAAGATGCTGCACCATTGGGAATTGAATTTTGGGAATGAGCAGAATTAATTACCAGAAACTACAGTATAAAAGGGCTAAGTGTACCCCATTAAAACTTTGTGGCATAACAAGATAGCTGACATATTTCAGAATATGTGCAATTTATCTGAAATGCAGTTTAAGTAGACATGAATTCTGAGGAATTACATACAGAGAATGGGCCTATAAGTTACCAGTACTTAGATAGTCCTAATAATGTATTCTTTATGTCATTTCTCATTTCAGTCCACCTCAATGACAAGAATTTTAAGAAAGATAAGAAACAAAATAGCAAATTTTGGGACAGAGTTTGTCACATATGGCCCTTTTGATAGTAGCTTATTGATTCATTAAACATATCCAGATGTCTTTTTGAAGGAAGACAAAGTATTGGCTTGAACAAAGTGTTTTTGGAGCTTGTTCCATCTGCCCATCATTCATGGGGTAAGGAAGAGCCTCCAGTTCTTTATTTTAAATGCACTTCCATATACTGTAGTTTCCCCTTGTGTCCACTGGTTCATGTTTCACTGTTCATTCTGAAGACATCCATTGCATTGGCATTGTCAGTGCCCTTGTATGAATTTGAATATTTGTTTCAGGTTCCCTTCTTGTTTGTTCGAGTCTTAAAGGTTCTGTTCTTCCAGCTTGTCAGTGTAGGACATTCTCTTAAGACTTTGAATGTATCTGGTTGCTCATTTTCTGGATGGATTCCAGAGCAGCAATAGATATTTTTTTAAAACGTGGTGACCAAAATTTTACACAACATTCTAAATGAGACCTACCTAGTGCATTGTACCATTGTAACATGAAAAACATCCCTTGATTGTAATTCTACACTTTTTACTCCATTGTCTAACAATGTTTGCCTTTTCAACTGCTGTGCCACATTATCTGGAAAATATTAACAATGTGCCAACATAACCCAAATCTTTTAATTTACTGTAAATAGCCTCTTCATTTCAGTGTTTGTATTTATTGTTTATGTTTGACACCTGCCCCATTACATAATGCTGCCACCACCATGGTGTTGGCTGGGTGATGCATTGTGTTGTATTTGCACAAGAGGAAATGTTTTCCATGTAGACTAAAAAGTGTAGACTAAAAAGTTCCAATTGTGTATAACCTCACCACAAAACATGCCATATGTTTTGTTGTGATCTCCAAGAGGAAGTGTTTTTTTTAGTTCCCTATAGGACAGCTTGGACCAGTCCTGGCCTGGACCCACAATACTGAAGCCATTCTGAACAGGGTTCAAGTGTGCCTCCACTTCCTGAGGTATCTGAGGAAATGTGGGATGAATAAGCAGATACTCTTGAGCTGTTATTGTTGCACCATAGAAAGTGTCTTGACCAGTGACATCTTGATATGGTAACACAACACAGGACAGGAAGGCAATACAGAAGGTTGTGAGATCTGCAAAAAAAAAAACTCATAGGATCTGACTTACTGTCCACTGAAGAGATCTACAGTATATCAACTGTTGCTGAAATAAAGCCTGTGCCATAATATAGGGTTTTAACCACCCCGGACACAAACTGTGCTTATATCTGTGGTCTGGCAGCAGGTACCACAGCATCAAATACACAATACTGACTGACGACTAGCCACTACCACCGACTGTAGAATATTTAGAAGTTTTCTTGGTTTACTGTTGTGTATTGCAACTATACTGTATGCTGTATGTTGTATTGTATTGTCTACTGGAAGATACTGTCTTTGCACTACTAACCTGCCGCTTTCACTTATTGCTGCTTTCACCTCTCTTTTACACAACAAAAGTGATTTAAGAATTCCAATGCACGTGTTACAAACGGCAAAGAAACTTTGATCTTGAACTATGCAGTTTGTAGATATTGTAACGCATATGGCCGACATTGCAGGTTGTGCGAGCTGGCTTTCCAGCGTGGTGACATCTCCTCTCTTCTCTGTGAACAGCAGGGGCCGCAGCCGTCGGGCTGACGGGAGATTTCCCTTTAGCTCAACTGGCTGGGTCCCTGTTGAGTGACGCCAGAGGCCCGGGTTCGAGTCCCCGACGGTGGGGGGCCAACCTGAGGCGGCAGCGGCCAGGGTGCATACCCACATGAACCCCTACAATATGTTGGTGGTACTTACTGAATCTCTGTGATCCATACATTCCATTAGAGTTTTAAAGAGCTGATTGCACTGTGTCTTTTCAAAACTGAAACTGTTCTGGATCATAAATAATGTGTCTTCTTTAATATCCGGTGGAAGCCCTCTAAAAAATACAGCAATATCAGAATCACATTAAATCAAAGTTATTACATGTTTCCAACCCAGCTGATAGTGTACAGTGTTCTCCAAAACAGAATAACAACCTCAAAACATTTATGTGCCCTACTGTCAAGTAGTCTGTATTTGTTATCATGAGATTCATATAAATAACAAGTACAATATAATATCGATTATATATGTGGGTAATTAGAAAAGCGATTTCAAGTGATCATATGAATGATCATATGACAACAGATTTACTTTAAATACAGCTTGGAGAGAATAAGTCATCATTTGGTTGCATATCTCCTTGGGCAATAACTGCATGAAGTCTGAAAACCATTGAGCTCACCAAGCACTCTGTATAATCATTTGAAATGCTTGATTGCAGTTGATTTGAGTTCTTGCCTATTCTTGAGGTGTTTGGACTTACATTTTTTTGTCACATTATGCCTTACAAGTCTACAAATTATGTATTTGGATGTTTAGATATACATACAATAGTTATTAAAACAAAAGTTGCTCACTCAGCATTTACTTTTGTGATCTACAACATACTTGTATACAACATAAGCTATGTTATGTTGACTATGCATGATGCATTGTGTTGACTTGTTAGCTTTCTTTTTGCTTAGTGTTTATAATAGCAATGTTTATGATATGTTATTAAATGATTAGCAGAAATGCGAAAAAAATCTGCTCGCTGTGAAGTGTCTGCAATCAATCTGCAATCAATTCTTTTTCGTCCCTTTGCATATGACTTGTTCACGTTGTTGGCTCTCACCTGCCTTCAGCTGTTTGTTTGTGCACGAAAGCCAGGAGGTCAGCAGCCCCCCCAGTCCCTTCAAAGACCACCACAGGCACAGGGGGGGTGCTCCTGACATACTCCCACACTAGTGGCACCGCACTGGGGTCACCTTCTACCAGCACTGCCACCACGGGAACACCTTGACCCAACCCTGAAAAAGAAGGTTCACCACACAGTTGGTCGCAACATCCTCCTGGATATGTTTAAGCTCCAAGGACATGTTTGTGTAATAAAAGACCTGGAAAATATCCCTCCCAGGCTGTATTAAATTTTTTGGACTAAAGGTTCCAATACCAGTTCAATGTGTAGTTTTTAATAATCGACTAGATATTAAAAAATGATATTAAGACAAGGCTTAAGACTGGAAATTGTGTTTTCGAATCCACTAATTAATGTTTTGATTTTCAGTCCCCATTAAAATCTACGTTGATAGTGTGGCGATTTCTATCTTCCCACCAGACATTTGGAAAGGAAATGTCCTGAGGTGGGAATGGCCAACCCCAGTGCTGGTAACTCCCGTCATTTCTAGAGGGGAGATGAAGAGGGAAACTGAATGTGAAAAACTGCTAATTTCCCCAATAACCTCAGGGTAAAACACAACTCCCCTCCTAGTAAGAAATGTCCAGCACTGACAGGATAAGAGACCTGCACCTTTTCAGGCAAGAACAAAGATAACTATGAGGAGACCTCATTCATTGACAGACAAACTACTGGACTGAAATGAGAGGACACAAGCTGAAACTACTAAGAAGTACAATTAAAGTGGAGAACAGGTGGCACTTTTTCACAACAGATTCTAGGAGACTGGAACAAGCTACCCAGCTGTGATATTAAACTGGTTTATTTAACAAGCTAGTTGGGCCTCCTGTTTTTAGCCTTTCCTACTGTATGTTATATGTCTGCATAAAAACAATTACAAGTTCTACAAATGTGCTTGGTATCTGTTAGATATATAAAATAAAACATATCCTGTATATAACTGTACATTATGACACAAAGTCATTATTAAATGTCACATTCCTTGACTAGTAAGACTTATACACATCTACTGAATCTGTATTTGAACTTAAGTAATTATATAATAATTAATTATATGTTAGTAATTATGTCTTATCCCTCACTGTGTTCAGTCTTAAAAGCCTTCTTCTTATGTTTTGGTGAAAGGAAGAAGAAAAAATGAATTATTTCCAATGAAGTCTCAATTTTCATTGCAGAGATATGATAAGAAAAAAAATACCATGTACCAAAACCATAACAATACACTGACATCACCTATACTGTTCATGATACTAACTGGAGTGAATCTTCTGAAGTCCGATGATTTGTTCGAACTTTCTCCTCAGGTTCATCTCACTTCCGAACCTTCCTACAGTCCCATCGTCCACCAGGACAAAGTGAGAGTGCAGACTGTTGAGGCACATCAGTTTGCTCAGGGGGTTGCCCAGTGTTTGATAAGGACAAACAACCTGACCAGGTAAAACAAATTATTTTACAATTCTGCCTTATTTCACTGCAGTTCGTACTGTTTGACAGTTAAAAATACAATTGTGCTTCTTTCAAAAGAAAGAAAATAGAGATCTGGAATGTTTCCTCTTTTGTCTGCTTTGTCAGTAAGTTCATTTTCACACATAAGGTACATAAAGGTAGATTTCAATTTAGATGAAGCAGAGACAGCAGTGAAATTAAATATTATTTGATTTGATTCCATAATTTTAAAAACAAAAATAATAATTTTGCGTGACAACACAAGGAACTGTTACATTAAATTAACAGCTTTCTTACAAAGATAACATATCTGATCTACTGTGATGAAGTTTGTATATATCAGACTTCAAACAAAATGAAATGTCACACAAGTAGCATCTACTTCATTGTGTCTCCTATCAAGTTTAAAGAAAACTAAAGCTGGACACTTTAATATAAAAGTAATACTGGTTATATAAGAGTAAAATACATTCTGGAAAAACAACTTACTCCTATCAGATTTAGCTTGGAAACCAATTAGAAATCTCACAGTTAATAACGGTTCATTTTAATGTGTAAAAGAAACATTCTATAAAAGCATAAGAAGCATAACAGTATGAAGTAAAACATATTCAAATTAAAGTTAGTGAATTAAGCAAGCATCAATCCCAGATTGCTATTGCAATTGCTATTATTATTATTATTATTATTGAATAGAAGCAGCACTTACATCTTTCCCTATTAGGTCAGATTGGTTCTCAATCACTCCCCATGGAGCTATTCCAATTGCATACCTCTTCCGGAAATCATGATCACCATGAGTTTTAAGAGCATCCCCAACATGTCTTGCTATGCCTAGAAGATAAAAGGAAGGAAGTGTGTGTAGGGGGTCATTCTATGCACTTTTTGGTCACATGCACTTGAGATAAGATATTTTCTAGTTCGATAACCATAGGAGGATATTTGTTTTGTACATACTATACATCCATACAGAAATGTTTAGGTGTGCAGCTTAACCAACAAACTCTCTTTCTTATGTATTAATATTCTTACCTGTGTGCAGACAAGAATACTTCAGATTCTGAGTGATATAGTACTAATATAGTTAGTAATTTGCAAAATTTTGTGTAAATTGATATTTTAAATATAAACTAAGTAAGCATTTGCATTCTTATATTCCATGATGAAACTTTAAGTACCTTTATAAATGTATTGTTTGAGGAAATAATGACTCATTAGCAGACAGAAATTTATTGCATTTACATTACACTCAAAAAAGAGAGGAGACGTTTAGAATGTTACCAATAACCTGTAAAATACGCTAAGGTGCTCTTGTTAAAGCTGCTGAATTCAAATCAAGGGACAGCATGCAAAAACTGTACAGTGCACAACTATAGTCAATCTATTGACCATATATTATTGAACTGAAATTAGTCCTGAGATGGACAACTGGAATGATAATGCACCTGGAAAGTGTGTCATATGTATTTGGATTATGTTAATCAGTATGAAAATGTATTAAATGAATAAAAACTCCTCTTACGGGATTCTAAATTTTAAAAGGGTCTGGCAAAGTCAAACGCCTTCTTTTCTTAGTTCTTTAAATTATATTTGATCATATGAACCAATGGGTGTTCCGCTGCAGACATGTACAGTAACTGTTTTTGTTGCTTAACTGAAAAAAAAAAATACCTGCATTAATGCCTTCGGTCACTATCCATGCTCCTGTTGTTTCTGCTGCCTTGATCAGGCCCTTTCCAAAGATCTGTTTTACCTTGGGAGGGAGCTCAAAGTTATGATTGCCTCCATGGACAGAAATGACCAACTTTGGTAAGTCCATCTGCCACTCCTTCACTATAAAGTGTAACAGTTGGTCCAATTTTGTATCATATGACACTCTGAGGTACTGAAAATGAGAAAGAAACATGGTTTTGAAGTGCTGTATGTATGTAATGACAAATGTCCAATTCCAACAAGTAGACAGCAAGACTCTTATCGTATTGTAAATTTGTCCTTACAAGACATGCATTCAAAACAGAAGGCCTGAATTGTAAGTAATTATTATTACTTTGTTAGATTATTAGTTCATCTAAAAGGAATCAGTTTATTTAGAGAGAATTAGAAAAATGCAACATTTTTCACAAACTTATCAGGAAAATTAGGAAATATTTTTGTAGGAGGTGTCACATTTCTAACTCACTACACCACCTTTGTTGTACGTCCTTTTAGAATGTTGCCACATCAGCAGAAAATGAGGACTCAGGTCTTTATTGATGTAGTGACGTGTAGTCAGGTTGCCATCAATCCCTATAAGAGGAGCTCTGTAGCAACCAAACATTTAAACTGTCCTGAGTGTAACACTTAAGCTTTCCCATCAATTGTTCTGTTGTTTGTGGTAATAAGTGTTATCATTCTGCACTTGTTGGTGTCCATCATGATGGTCTACACTAAACCTAAATTCATCACAAAAGGGAACTTGGAACTGCTGGAGAGATTACTTGAGATGTTGGTCTAATATCAATAAAACATCAAGAAAAACAGAAAGCACAGATAAGAAAATGACTGCTCAAAATGTTCAGTTTGGAGCGATTTAATTAGATGTAATTAGAGACATACCATTGAAATCTGTATTAGTACCATTGCTTTTTCATATTTATAGCAATTGTCTAGATCGAGGGTCAGTAATGTATTTGTGCCAAACTATGCACTCTTAGAGAGTCTTATCGATTCTTCAATGTAAAGACCATGTCCCTGATATGGGCTGAAAACAGAAAGGTTTTTGTAAAAATCACTGAGGATCAAACTGCCCAGTCAGTGGTAATTTTCTATTGTATTATTAATCAAGAACATCTTCATACCAAGATCTGAGCTTAATTATGTGAATTTTCTTGTTGCTCCATCTGCTTTGATGCACAGGCAGTCTGAAGCAAAACTTGAGGAGATGGATAGAGCATACCAGGATATTTCACTCCACAGGAATATTGGGAAAATTTTGGCGTGCATTGTGGACCGTCTACGTAGATGCAGTCATGATCTTTCTTGTCAGAAAAATGTTAAAACTACTTTGAACTGGATGACGACACGTGAATAATGTTTCCAACATCACTGCAAATCTAAACAAACCATAATTGTAGAATTTAGGAATTCATAATTTTATATATACACACGTAAGTTAGAAAGTAAATACAGTCATTTAGAAAGTCATGTACAATTTTAGTAATGTGTATTTACGTAAATCTTTATATGTACTTTTAAACCTGTCAGATGTTTCAGGAAAAAAATAAATACAGCAGATTTTAGAGGTGGCAACAATCTGGGTGAATACCAATTATCTCAAATCTTTGGACACGTATTCTGAAATGCACCAATAAATGCAGATATTAAAAGTTGAATATGAGACCATATTCATGTTTTAAGCATCCTTCTAAAGAGGTGCTTCTGATCGAAATAGAAATTCAACAGAGCTCCATTTGTGCAGGTTGGCAACAGTTGGATGTGCTGATGGGCCTTTCAGTTTCTTCACATGGCTGTGGGATATGAAAGCAACTACAATCTTTTATTGGCATCTGTTTAATACTTACAAGTTAACACCTCACCTTTCTGGTAGACATGGTATTAGTTCAAATTTGTATGACGATGACACATATATTAATGTTTTGTTAAAAACATTATTTCGGTCAGGCACTGTTTACTTTGTCACACTGCCTGTCTTAGATTAAATGCTAAGAAATTGATGCAGCATATCTCTTTACATCTGAACTCTGAACAGGTTGAAGTTAGAATAATTGGCTCTCCTTATCAGGTATGCAAATGTGTCAACCTAAGTTTTAATACTTATGGTCCTGGAATCAGTCCAGGTAGCTAAAGAAAGGCAAAGTTCTTTATTAAATGGCATTTGTACAGAAAAGGGAAATGTACTAGAAGTAATTAAAATTCCAAGGTCTCATTGTAGTCTCTCAGTTGTCCTTAAAAGAACTTGACAAGTTACTTATAGACCATTTGTAAAACATATTCATAGCTACTCAAGGAAGAAACTACCCAGTGACTAGAAATTTGCTAATGTAATCCCCAACCACAAAAAGGGAGAAATATCTTCACTGCATGCTTACAGTATAGACCTACAGTATAGTTTCTCTAGCTGTTAATAACTCCTCTGATCCCTGATGTTCAGTATGAAAAATACCAACTAATGCCCTCAAAAGATGTTTTAGTGTCCCTCAATGCAGACTTAACAAATGAGGAAATCCTTTATCCCACATTCAATCAAACTACTCAATAAATGAGTTCACAACAAAGGAATATTGGTTTCTGGGCAAGTGCAAATGGTTTAGGTTATGTTACAGTATGTGCAAAAATGGAGGGGTATAGTGCAAATATAGAGGAAATGTATATATATGTGTAGCTTGATTGTGGGGGAAGTTTGAATTGTTTGTGTCTTGAATACACCGATGAACTGTTACCCTCCTATACACCTACTCGTCAATTGTAATCTTTGGACTCTGGCCTCTGAGTTTCCAAAACAAGACTACAAACATTGGAAGACCCTGAATAGAAACCTCCCAGCCAATATCAGACCTTTTAGTCGGTCAGCATTTTCAAATCCTGTTTTAAAACTCACTTCTTTAACGTTTTTAGTTATTTTAATTTTACTTTACTTATTTTTGTCTTTATTGTTGTAAACAACCTGGAGATATCTCATGAAAGGAGTGACATAAAAATAAAGATAGTTATTATTGTTATGTTAATAAATATATTCAAATCTATATGCTTTTACAAAACTATCCACTAATGTATCCTCTTTTTCTAAAACGTTGATGGTGCTGGCAGACAGGAATTTGCTTTATTACTGTAGCTCCAGTATAGGTCCATGTTTTGTTGGAACTGTACTTGAGACATTACTGCTTTTGCTGTGGGCTATGTTATTAGCTGAGTATGAATAAAGTGCCTTAGATAGCAGTACTGGTGTTGTATGTGTTATGTGAGTCCTACTGCTGCTAACTGAGCATGAATCAATCCGTGTGCTGTTAGCTTGCCTTGCATCATTGACTCCTACAGGTTGCTAGGCTCCTGTGAGCCTGTAGCATTATCAGCAAGAGCTGTTTCTGTATTATCCCTGATGCTCTATCTTTCTCCTTGCCATTATGGACTTTATAAACAATAGGAGCTGGGATTGGAAAGATAGCAATTGATGTGTACAGTCCAGAAAGTTCTTGATTATTCCTAATATTTTTCTCCTCACTCTCAACAGATGTAGTTAACTTTACTGTACCTAGGTGCTGAATGTATAACTTCTTCTGATGATACATCCAGCAGCTACTGTATATCACCCTGCAACTCAAAACGCGCAATCCACTGAAGCTAAGTGGATTTAGCAATACCTGGATGGGAGACTTCCTGGGAAAGCAAAGGTTGCTGCTAGAAGAGGTGTTAGTGGGACCAGTAGGGGGCGCTCACCTTGAAGTTAGTTCAATGGCAGACAGCTATCAGGGTTCTAATCTGAGCTCTGACTTGTGTCCCAATACCCAAACCATTAAAATATGGTTCTTAGTCTCTGTTGTAGTCATTTCTCTTGACTAAGGGTTTCTGCAAAACTTGGCCACTCTTATTAAAATTTTTCAAACCTTAGCATGAAAGGATCGAGCTCCATCTTGAAAGTCAATTGTGCCAAAAGCATCCGTAGGACTGGCCTTTGTGTGTTTCTCAACAGACCACTCTTCTCTCTCACTCTCCAGGGCTGACATGTAGAGTGGGGAGCTTAAGTCCAAGCCTGTATGTTCTCCAATCAGTCGGCCACAGCAGCACCTGAGAAGGAATATTCAAATTAAATTTCTGTGGAAATTACTTTGACTGGGTGACCACTGCTTCAGAAAAAAAGAGATACAAGAAATGTCAACTTAAAACAATAATTATACATGCACCATTGCCGTTTAGCGTTTAGAATATTATAGGCAAACTCCTACATTTCCCACAAGCCTCTGGGGAAGACCTATTGCCAGCTGTCACCTGTCCAGTCCAAGAATAATGATTGGCCAGATGTATTGTATAAAACCAGGACGTCCTAAGGGAGACCTGGTTACAGTACCTGCTGCATGGAAGAAGGAAGCAGATCCTTTAGTGTATGACATGGTAGGCAAAGCTCAAATTAGGCAAGCAACTAAGAGAAGTAGACAAGGCTTTTTCATGTGGAACATAATTTTACAGTTTTGATTATTTAAATCTTGTTGTTTCTTAGTCAGCAAGGTGCACAGTAGCCCCACTGGGTTAAGTTAGGAATATAGGAGATGTCAGTATAGAACTGAGACAGAGATAGATTTTTGTTTCCATTTAGTTTTCATTCTTACTCAAAGCTGTAAATAAAAAGCACTTGTTTTGCACCAATTTTTGTTCCACTTTCTCAAGGGGAAACCCAGCACTCTGCCACCCTGCATGGTGTCACATACAGTATGGTGGAGAATGTAGGCGGTAGGCTAAGCGGTGTTTGCTACAGCACACCCTGGCAAACAGTACCAATACAAGTGAAAAAAATATGAAGATAATTCATAATTCATAAAAATCAGGGGAAGTCACTGTCTAGGAAAAGAGTGCACATGAAGGACTGGACCAGGAGATATGCCTGGTGTGCAACTCAGAAGGGAGACTGATAAGCTCTTAGTTTGTCTCCACCACACTGCCCTGTTTTCTGCTTCTATATGGTGGGGATGATTTGCCTTGGGATGGCTATTGGTCAGTCAGATGTCGGCTGGGATACAAAACATAGTGGTAGTCATTGGCAATGTGGCAGATCTTGCCCTTACTACATTCTCCAGAATCTGATGGAGTTAAACTATCAATTGCCACCACCCTACCAGCTAAGAGATAAGGATTAGTCGGGTGACTGTGTAAAACAAGGAATTTCTGGCATAGAAAAAAAGAGTTTGTTGTTTGGAAGAAGGGACAGCAGTAGATCTTCCTATACTGTACGACAGAGGAGGCAGAGCTCAAGAGAGCTAACAGAGCAGGTTGGTATTTCTTTCCTTGTCGTATACTATATAAAAACACAGCTAAATGAGGAATTCTCATTTAGTGTAGGACACAAGAGGAATCTTTCAACGGACTCGGCCAAGCTGGAGGCAAACAACTAAGAGAAAAAGCAGTACGAACTGTGTAGCTTGTGTAAGTACAATAGTAGGTTTTTATTATCCCTAAAACTCTTCATTGTTCCTGAAACAAAATATGGTGCATGCATCTTAATCAAAACCCTGATTTGACTATGTAATATGCATATATTTTTATATATAATATCCTTTGAATGCACCACATATGGCATGCACTTGCATCTTATGATAGTAGAGTTACTGCCGCTATCCAAAATTTTGTAAAATTTGAGAAGCTAAGTGTGGCTGTGTATGGTCAGTACTGACATACAGTAGGTGATATGTATAAAAACTTTTCATGTTTCTGTAGTGTTGCTAGAGCAGTAGTTGGCACTCTTCCATCTGAAGGAGAATTTTCAAGCCTAAGGACTAATATGACAGAGGACACTGGGATTGCTAATACTTGTGGATATTAAAGATATCATAGCACAGTTCAAAACAGAAGAGGTGTTAACCCTAGTGTCCTGGAAGAATTCCATCTTGGAGTTTCACACTCTGGTCTCCCTAGTTTTTCCCATTAATATGATTAATGAAGTAATTTCTCATTTCTCAACCTGACCTACTGTACAGTAAGGCTGTTAGTGCATAATGGCTTCCACGCAACACCTTTATAGCTTCAGATATGGATGAAGTTGGTCCCCCGGTATACAGTATGTGAAGCACTTTTAGTGCATTTGGGATAAAAAGCACTAGTCAAACGTAACAAGTTATTCTTATTTTTTCCTATCTGAACCAGCTTAGCATCATCTTACCTTATTAAGTTCTGACACACTTGACATCCTGGAATACATCTGTAATACACAAGATGGTAAACAGAGGCAGCTAGAAAATACACTTCCAGATTTACCTAGAAATGTACCTAGCATATTAATATAATTGTTGCTTCATGAAAACTTTTTTTTTATTTCTGAAGTAACATGGATCTAGGTTACATTACTAAGCATTTTAATATTGGACATTACTCAAGTTCATGGGCGAAAGATCAATTTAATACAATTCTCAGCACTTTTAGCAACTGGGCTTCTGAATGGACATGTCAGTAAAGGCACTGTTTAAATCATTGTTTGGGTCCCAGTTTCAGTCAACAATTGTACATAATTAACTGTCTGTTGCTTAACTCTGCAGTGTAAAAAGAAGAAATATCCTGACAGGACACTTTTCTGAAGATACAGTAAGTATATACAAATTCTTTACACATACAGTACGGCTAAATTAACAAATTATATGTACAGATATATAGCTTACACTTTTTATTTCACGCCAAATATTAAATCACTAGAAAGCCTGAATCAATTTAAGCGAAATTTTGTAATGAAATATTGGGTTCATAGAGAAATGTAATTAGGTGCTTGTCATAATGAATAGTGAAAACTATTTCTTAAGGTGAATACATATCTATCTGCTGAGTATGTTTTCTCAAAATGTTTTTCATGATTAAAAAATATATATTTCCATTATTGCATTTGTAATCTGTCTCTCTGTTGATCATTTTTATCACCTCAAAATATTGGGAAACACATCATGCTTTTGATGTGTTATCTTTTTGATAAAATGAAAATTACAACTGTGATAAGTATCTGTTGAACTTCTGATAAAGCCTTCTGAGAATCTCCTCAGGAAATGTGCTTACTAGCCTACGTATTGGAATACTTGTACATTGATAGGTTAAATGTTATTTTGTACTTTAAGAAAAGTTTTCTATATCAGTTTTGATTTCAGAAAAGGAAACCTGCATCACAAGAAAAAAAGGTGTCCTTAGAGTTGCTAATTGCAAACATAAACCTCATAGCAAAACAATTTTAAGTATTAAAATATTACCTGTGTGGCCCTCTTGAGATTGGTATAAACATCATGCATTCTCTTTTGCAGAAAGTTTCTTCGATCCATGTTTTTCTGGACTAAAAATATTATGTGATAGTTAACATTTTCTATAATGTGGAAAAGTGCATATTTAAAGTACACATACTACAGTTCAATAAAGGCCACAACTATGTCTACAATATGTTTTAGAATTTCACGGTAGACCTCTATGAACTTTGATTGAAAATGATGGGGATCATTGTGATCAGGATTTGAAAAAGGGTATCCATTTCCATTGAGAAAGGATAATTCACTTTTATTAAAGGATAAAAATAACATTCAATTTACACTAAAAAATTCACTCCATGTATGTGTTAGTTGGTTGTGGTGAAAAGCATGTTTAACTTTTCCATGTGAAACCAAAGTGAAACCAAGTGAAGGATCTTGGACCTTAAAATTACATTTGGATTCAATAACAGCAATATGAAATTTACACAAAATGCTTTATTGTAAAACTTCAAAAAATTAATTTTGCTTATAAGATTATATTTCACCAGAACTAGCAGCATTTCCTGTGCTTTGACACACCAAAATATTACAATGCTTCTCCGTTATCATTTCCTGTAAACTATTTCACAAGCTTCCCAAATCATTTCCTTGAATTTATGTTTATTTCAGCATTACAAAATACATAACTTTACCTGTTGGAGCATTAGTTTTTAATAGGTTTTTAATAAAATACTGTAATTCTGTTTATTTAGGATTAACCAGTAATTCTGTAAACCTAGAATCTCACATTTAATTTCTAAATACTATTTAACACTAAAATTGATCACGCACATGCACTGTTAACTTCTCAGAAATAAAATACATTACCTTCATTCGAACATTCACTGTAATACTTTATTTATCCCTCCAAAAACTTGTCAGAGATCCGTTTATGTATCTAAAAGAGATTCTTGTGAAGAGCACTCACACTGCTTGACTACATTCAGACTGAAGTCTGGGTCATCAGGCCTGTACTGTAAAAAAGGGAGAAGGAAATGCTTGAAAAAGTGTTTTCCTTTTCAGAAAAAAAGCCTATCCTCTTGGATTGTCTGCGTCAATGTAATTACATTGGCAAGACTTACAGAGTCCTGTTGTCTGGAAACCCACTAACACAGAAAAAGGTGTACCAAGAGTTTTGTCAAAATTTACATTTCTTGAAATGGGAATAAAAAATGATCAATTGCCTCTGCAAAAAAAGCCAGATATCCTCAGTTTGATAAACACTCCAAAATATGTATTAGGTGGAAAACAAACACTTTCTAGATAATGAAAAATCAAACATTTAAGTATATACAATATATACAATACATATTCTTGAACATAGCATTTATAATTTATACCCTATCTACAGTACTTTTCAATATCTGATGTTACCGGTACATCGTGAAACATTGTGATTCACTTCAAGAATATACTTAATGAAAAATAGATCATCCTTGAAATAATGAGTTTAAGCACATTTTACCTTGTTGCTTGCTAATTTATGAAGTGGCACGCATATGTGAGAAATCTTTTTCAGCTGTTGAAGCAATTACATAAAACAAAGTGATTACCAGGAACTAAAGAATGTAAAACAAAAACTTGTCACAAATAAACAGCATGTTAGAAACCTGCTTAATACCCAAATAAATAGTTCAAAGATAATAATTTAATTTTATAGCATCTCCATGCAATGACAATTCTGAAGCCTTGTAATTCAGTAATTCACATGGCAAGAATAATGTACAGTATATGGAGCATTGCGTAGTAAGATGATTTATTACACTGTACTGTACATCATATCCAATCGTGACTCTTTTATCTTTTATAGGCTTTAAAAAGGTTGACTTCACATGATAGCAGGGCACTTCATAAAAGCTGAAGGATCAAATAACATAATTACAGCTACAAAATGCAACCATTTTTTCAGTTTTGCTCTCTGATACTTTAGCATATCTGTTTTTAACTTAAGAATGTGCTGTTGTTTATGATGATACACCTTTTAAATGTATTTAGAAAATGTTGCATCATTTAAACAAAAAAAACAGGTTTCTGTAAAACACTCACTGCTGCATTTCAGCTTTTCACCATTTTTTGAGAGCACTTCTTTATAAAAAATTGGTTTATTGGTAGTTTATTTATATCTAAACCATCTTCCACTCAACTAAAGCTTGTATTTCCAAAACATTAAGTTACTTAGTAGATAACTTGCTATGAAATTAAAATATTTATCACGTTTATGTCTGACCTTTAGTAAATAACCCAGCACAATATACTGAAATAAGCATGTATGTTTTTTAGTAAGTATTGTATTTATTCTATAGATAGTATAAACAACACCAATATATAATTCTACACTATATGAATCTACTTTGATAAAGTCAAAGATCATTGCACACCACCTGTCATATGACAGTAGTTTCAGCTTTTAATACTGTTCATGTCAACAGCCTATTCTTAAAGAAAACAGAAAGGTACTTTGTAAATTATTTTAACTCTAACCACTCTAGATACTAAAGTTTACGTAACTTTGTAATTTACTTTCATTCTCTAAAAAACATTTTAAGCAGTTTGCTTGCATAGTTTTGGGCTATTAAACACATTTGACTAAATTCTAAGCAGTTACAGTACATATCAAAATACCACTTTGTTTTGAATACACAAATTATAATGAATGTATACAACAATCAGTTTGTAAAGAAAATCAATGCATATCCTATATTGTATACAGTAATCTATTAAATGCAAAACAGAAATGATTTGTTGGTCCCTTCACTCCAACAGCGATTTTCAAGAAATTAACAGATAGTTCCTAAAACTTTAGATAAGGAAAAAGTCAGAGCTTCATAGCAAACGTATTCAACTTACCATCCTATTTCGCAGAATAACCTGTAATAAACTGGAGAACCACAAGCAGTTTCACTTCTTTGAAATGCAGTTAATGGGAGGAGCTTTTCTACAACTTCTTACTAACTTTCTTGCCTAAGGTGTTCAAAGCTCATGAAGACTAATTACCTACCGGTGTCACCTTGTGTCAGAAGAGTGCATTTAAAAGTCATTCATCATGTTTCAAATCTAAAATTGAAATTTACCTTCATTTCATTCTGGACACCTGTATCCAGAACATATCTATCCACAAGGACAAATTTAAATTGATCTCACTGCTACAGTAAGACAATGAATGACAATGTGAAAATAAAACGTTTTCAAATGCATAGTATGATTTACCTTGAAATTACAATTGTTGAAGCAACTTAATTTTAGCTATATTTAGGTTTTAGTCAAGTTATTTCAGAACTTGGGTATAAACAACCCATTTGTGGTGTCTGAATCTAAATCAGATTTATGTAATTTACCATCTGGACCTTCTTTTATACTTTTATACTACTTTGAAATCAATGCAACCTTAAATCAAGAGGTGCAACTGATAAGGGTGTTTGTTAAGAAAATAAATTTGCAGGCAAAGCAACCATAGAAGCACATACTGTAAGTACTTTGGCAAGTATTAGAATGGGATAACAATTAGTAGCTAAAAAAATTGAAGATGGGAATCAAAGGGAGAAAAAAAATCAGTCAGAGAGGGTAAGAACATAAGAACAATTAAAAATGAGTAGATAATTGGCCATATAGCCCGTCTATCCTGTTTGCTAGCAAGCAGCTATATGTTGCAAAAATCTTATCCAGCTATTTCTTGAAAATTGCCATGGAATCTGCTTCCACAATATAGTGGCTTGGTCCATACTCCCACAACCCCTTAAATAAAGATGTGCCTTCTTTGCTTGGGTTTGCTCTGTGGGCGCCTGTGGCTGGAAGGTTGCTGGTTCAAATCCGGTGGCCGACAGAGGAATCCTACTTCATTGGGCCCCTGAGCAAGGCCCTTAACCACAGCTGCTCCAGGGGCACAGTGTAAATGGCTGACCCTGCACTCTGACTCCAAGCTTCTCTCTCCCTGCCTGTGTGTCTCATGGAGAGCAAGCTGAGGTATGCTAAAAAGACAAATTCCTAATGGAAGAAATTGTACAGTATATAGCCAACAAAGTGATCTTATAAATGCACTGCAATGTAGTTTCCACTTATTGGTAAAGGTTAAGACGTTGTCCTTATTTATCAAATCATCATAACCTAAATATTAGTTTTGAAAGGGGTAAGTTTACAAGTAAGACAAGTTTAGAAAGCAGAAGTGAATTTATTAAAATAATGACCTATCCTTTAATGTATTTGAACATTTAATATTTAACATAAGAATACAAAAAATACAAAAGAATACTGAAACAACATTTCAATTCTTATTCTAACTGCATTTATGTAGAACAAAATTCCAGTGTTAACACTTATCACATCCATCATCATTTTAAACATTCTTCTTTAAAATGTTACGGATAAGTATAGGAAAAAGACAACATATGTTTCCTTTCACTCAAGACTATAAACAGGCTAAAAAAATGCTCTCATGTTTCCATGTCAGTCTCTGTGGCAGAATGTTCTGGGAGCTCCTCAAGACCTGGATCCTGGAGTTCTGAAAGATCAAGATCGGGAAGAGGAATTCTCCAGTACTGGAATGAGTTGAAATGGCAAAGTTCCTCTTCTTTTGGAGATACCTGTAAAACATTAAGGTAATATATCAAATTTTTGTTTTCAATGAAGCAATCATTGCTTACTGAATAACTTTATTAAGTGTTTATTAACATCTACAAATTCATTTGCCAGATATAGATATTCTCATTATATAATTTAAGTAACAATTAAGGTTCATCTCCCCCTGTGATAGTACTGTACATATAAATAAATTAACAGCTTAGTCCATAGCCTCCCTGGAATCAAGGACATAAGTTTCAGCAGATGCACCAAAATGCAAAAGCAAGCACATGGGAAATTACTACTATATATACAGTGCAATATGAACAAGACAATTATCATCACATTTAGTTGGGGGCTAATCAGTGTCTCCTGGAGGATTTCAATCAATGGGTGAAAACAACTGTTCTGGAGTGAGCTATGATCATAAAACTAATCAACTTTTTACAACTCGCTGATCATTAAAATATTACCCTTTTAAAATGTACAACTATGAGTTTCTAGTGATTAAGTTTTACTCTTACAATTCACACAATGTGAAAAGAAGTGGTAATCAGATTTGTCAAAATTATCACTTTCAACCCTGCTGTAGCTGCGTCGGCCTTTGACACGCGAAAACAGCGACATCTTGCGTTAGTTGTCAGTACTTACGTTACAGCTCAGAATATTTCCCAACCACGAATTGAGAAAAAAATATAAATCACCTTTTCAAGTTTGAAGCATCCGTCTTCGAAGCTGTTGTCTCCCTCACAGTTATTTCTTTTCAGTGCATCGTTGTTACGATTGGCAATATCCACCGCACCGCGCGCCTCGGGTTTATCATCCTGTTGGAAACTTCCAGAAATGTGCCTCACAGAAACGTCTTTTTCTTTGAAGGTCGTATGTCGTTCACGCTGTAGCTCATTTACGATTCGTCTTTTACACGGTGAATTCGCCTTTTCAAATTCTCCCTCAATAAGCGCTCTTTTCTTGGTGTTGTGGGTTAGTGGAAGCGGCGGATCAACACAGGGTGCTCGTGGTATACCTTGGTCATGTGCTCCAATCTTGTACAGTGGACGAATGCATCTCTTCAAAGGACCGTTGTACAGCAAAATATTTTCTGCCCTTCTCTTGGTCATAAATGCAACTTATATAATAAGCTCTTTAAATTAAAAAAATATATTACTCAACAACTAAACAGGAACTCACTTAAACTCACTTAAACAGGAAGCTTAACAGAGTGAACACCGCCCCTTAACAAAGAGCAGACCACATTAGTGTGCTATGCTTTACGAACTATAGCGCCCTCTGTAATTAGTGGACTTAACGACCGAGACGAGCACAAAAACTTATTTTCCACCCACATTTAAACACGTGTTACTGCCCTAGTAGTTTTAAAAAAATAAAATGAGTTTTTGAAACTTTTCAGTCTTCATTACAAAATGTGACATACAAACTATCCGTAGACGTTTCTCACATTGCTTTGAATTAGAACTGTTTTCTTCACGTAAAGGGATGCGTTTCAGGATTGTGTGGTAATCTTTACAATACAATACAAGGTTTACAGTATAGGGCAGTATAAGGACAAATAGCCCACAAGTTGGGAGGGCAAACTAATATGGTAAAGAAAAATATTTCTGGGGAACTGGAAATTTAAAATGTTCTGTGGTATGAATGAGATGTAATTCATAAACATCTGCATGGTTCTAAATTCTCAATTTTGTAAGCAGAGAACTATTCAAACTAGTACTGTATCGACATTCTGCATTCCAAACTTCTGTGGAAAAATGTCTAAACACAATTTAAGGACAATGAATTAAGCAGTCCATTTTAAATTTTAAAAACTGTTCAAAAATATAATTCTTTATTGAAAATTAATTCTTAAACCCAAAGAAACTGCTTAAAACAAGCAGGCTGACTGACCCATGCCAAATTAAAATGAAATAACTGCTTTGAACTTTACAAAATAAATATACACAATAGCACAAACAGTTACGTTCTAAAAATACATGCAATTTGGTAAGTGAACAGGAGAAAAAAATGTACTGTTTTTTATTGGAGATAAAAAAGGCACCAAAATTTCTATACCTTTACATAAGAGCAAAAATAACTGGTCACTTCATCAGTTCAGGCTGACCCTTTGTAGACATCTTTGTAAATGTTTATGGTAAATGCTAAGTTGCAAAGATGAGAAAAATAAATCCCAAGTTAATAATTCTTCTTTTGGGAAGACTTTTCACTGCTGTCATGACTTCCTGTCAGCTTGTTCCTTTTGTGTATTTGTCTCCACTTCATTCCCATTTCCAGCAGGGAACCCATTAGAGACCAACTGCTCAGCTGGTTTTCGTGCAACAAAAAACACACAGTCATAGAGGTATTTCAACATGGAATGGCTGTTCTCTGTGTATGTGGTTGGGACTGATTCTCTCTCCACCTATTGAAAATAAATTTAACACACCTATGAATATCTTCTTTTTTGTAATATTAGACAAATGCTTTACAGGTTCATAAACAAATCTAAATATCAAATTCACCCATATATACAGTATAGCTATATATTACAACAGGTAGAGGAATCGATAATATGTACATACAGAGGCCAAGCAAAAGCTGTTTGAGGAGACAAGCTCTTTAAGAGCTGTTTTTATTTGTTGTATGTTAAACAACTAGATGTAGGCACAGTATGTATTCAGAAAAGATGTAAGGACAATACACAAATGTAGAAAACTACAGATGTTCCTTCAGATTACAACAATATATACTTTACAGTTATTTTAGAAATGCAACACATGCTACATCCTTTTGAGTAGCACAATAATTAGTTATTACAGTGCAAATATGGTGCATGCTTGGTCTTACCTCAAACTGGAATCCATACTTTAAAATAACAGACTTAACATCTTCATAGCTGAGTTCAATTGAAAGTTCATTTGCCATGTTTTCGAAGTGGTACAACAGTGGGCCTAATGTATATAAAAACACATTATACAAGAGTGCGAAAAAATGCTATTTTTAGTTACATGCTTCTCTGTGTATAAAGCAATGGCTTGCTATTTTCAATATATCAGTTTTAGAAATATCCAAAATCAAATGTACTCCTTATATTCTTCAGAAGCACTTCATAATACAACTTTAAACTGCAGAATTTAAAGCTGAATGCAATAAATTAAAATTCTGCAGGCATCTGTAGACCACACACAAAAGTTATAAATGTTTTAACAAATGCTGACATTTTGTTTTCTCTTTTCAATACATTTTGTTCTACTTACCCAAATTAATCCATGCTCCACCTGGTTTGAGTATATTCCAGATTGTCTCAATGTAATCAATTATGTTATGTGCTGTATCTATAAAGAAACAGGTTGCTACACAATCCCAGGTATCTTTTTTGGAAAAAAAAACATGAGCACCAATGTTAAAAACTCTTGCAAGTTAAAACAAATAATCATATTAGTGAATCAATCCTAACAATAAATTATAGGTGCTGGTGTTAACATCTAAACTTCTGTGCCAAAGTATTAACTATACACGCCAAATACTACAAGTAAAGTCACACAATTAAATTTTCAGTTATTCAAAACTGGACTTTTGTAGAATTTATGTCTCAAAGACAGAATCATTGTCCAACTTACGTACAACAGTATTTTAATATACTTTATAAGACATTCCAGTTGGGATGATTCAGACTGCAGCTTTTTGCATTTCAAACATAACTCAAAATGTGCATGCAGAATTCATCGAAGGGGCAAGTGTGAGATAGCTGAGTGTATAATAAACCTGTTATAGTGAAACATCTCTTCTGAGTTGTCATACGTTTCTCTAGTTTCCACAGTTAGCGGATAAATACTATGATAGGCTGTGGGACGTAGCTGCTGAGAGGCGTGCCTTTCATGTTTTTATCAAATTTGATAACATATACTTATAGTCAGACATATGCTTGGATGTCACCTAAGAAAATCAAATAATTCAAAATGTGTCTATCAATGCAGCTGTCTAAAACCTGAAACTAAAAAAACCTATAATTACTTCAATGAACGGAAATGTGAACGGAAATGTAAAAAAAAAAGATTACAGATTAAGATGGATTTACTCACTAGGTTCTGTGTAAACCTCCAGGAAATCTCCTGCTGCCATAGAAAAATCTGAATTAGGCGGCAGGCTCTGTGGATTGACATCAGGAAATTTAATTGCGCGAGTCTGATCGGAGGACTTCTTGTTATTACTGAACTGGTGGATCCATGGATATAAAGTCATTGCATTCACCTCACAACACCTAAGGAGAAAAGGGCAGCAAAATGTAAAATGAATGCTTCAAGAAAAAAAAAACATCAAACTTATTTTTCAAATAAGACTTCTTTTTTTCCTTTCGGGGAATCTCAAAAGGTCAAATGTTTTTATGAAAGAATGCCAATGTTAGTAGTGGTGTGATGCTATAAGGGGGCCATTAACATCAGCTTAAGGAGTCAGCATGTTGTTCATGGTCATTTTACTCCACATATTATTACATTTACCATTTGAGACCCATGCATCTAATCATTGTTACAGTAACATCAACATTAAACTTTTCTCAACCAAATAATTGTTGTCCTACACAGTTAGGTGCACTAACAGAGCCTTGCAAAAGTATTCAGATCCTTCTTGTGGTGTCCCATTTTCATTTGAAATTCTAAAATAATGTAGACACATTTTTGAAATGCAGCAAGTATTTTTGTGTAAGTCTCTACCACCTTTTAACACTAGCTTCATGCATTTTTTTCCCATTGTTCTTGGTAAATTTGCTGAAATTCTCACAGGTTTTTTGTGGATTGTTTCTGGACAACAGTTTTAAAAGTCCTTCCACAGATTTTCAATAGGATTCAAATCAGAACTTTGAATGGGCCACTCAAAGACATCTACTTCCTAATTTTTCAATGAATATTTCTTACTTATTTGTAAGGCACTCCAATGTTTTAGGTGACATACTTTGTCCTGAAAGGAGAATCGAAATCCCAGTTTAAGGTCTGAAGGTTTTCCTCTACAATTTGCTAGGACTTTGCTGATTCTGTATTTCCATCAGTCATCAGTCTTGACAGGCTTCCCAAAGTAATGCACCTTGATGGGTATGCAGCAAATGTAATACCCATTAAATGCAATCAAATCCCCTTTGTTACGTTTGCAGTATCACTTAAGTGATACGTTGCAAACCAAATGTGGAACTTTTTTTTTCAGTTCCATTCACGTTTCGTTGAAAGACTGGTACAGTACATTGCTGAACCACAGACATTTTCTCCCATCTCTGCCACTGAACTCTAAGTCTTGCAAAGTTGCCTTTGGCCTCAGGGTGGCATCCCTAACTAGTTTCCTCCTGGCCTGGCTGCTCATATTGGAGGGACAGACCTAGGCAGTGTCTGGGTGCCTTCCACTTAACAATCAACTTCACATTGCTCAAATAGGTATTATTCAAATGTTTTTGTACTTTTCTCCTGATCTGTGCTTTTATACGTCTTTTATACGTCTTTATCCTTGAGTTTTTTTTTTAGTGCTCCTTGGTCTTCATTGCTGAATCTTTGTTAGAAATTCAAAACTTGAGTGGGGGACCTTACAGAGACAGGTGTATTTATTCGTGTGAACAATACAGCTGCACACAGGCAACACAACTAATTATGTGACTCATTAACGTAATTTTGTTCATCTTAATTAAGTTAAGTTCTTCAATATAAAGTGTTTGAATACTTATGCAATCATGACATTTCCATTTTTCCAAATGATCTATTAGTTTTTTTTCCTTTGTGAAGAGTAGGTTATATATGTAATATTAATTGCTACTATAAAGTGTCAGAACTGCAAGCTTTAAAGCAACACAATATGAAAACTGTGCAAGGGTCTGAATACTTTTGCAAGGCACTATAAGACTTTCTGCTTCACAATGTGGTTCCAATGTTTTGATATGCACTACAATCTGTGGGTTGAAATAAAAAGATACACTTGTCAACATAAATTGACACTTCAAGTTAATGGAAAAATACTACTCAATTTCACCCAAATATATCAAAGTATGTCACAGAATCGGAGAGCAAGATGGCAGAAGCAAGAATGCAGAGCAGGATATACTGAATGTTTTAAAACACGGAATTAACTCATCACATTTAAGGATAATTTGCTCAATAATTTGGCTCCTTTTCCTGAAACCTGTTTTGTACTGATTAGGTTTTACTAAAAACTAAAAGAATCACCAGTTTCTTACAAGTCTGAAATAAGAGAGGAATAAATACCTGTTAAGAACAAAATGGGAAGAGAAAAGCATAAAGAAGCTCCACTCATTTCCCTGACAGGCATAGCCTAGCTTGGCTATCTCCCAGGCTAGTCTTCCAAGGCCTGCACCGGGCACAAGAACACTCACCTTTGAGATGTCACTACAAATAGAAAAATATACATAGTTGGTAAGAGTGCAAACTGTCTACCGACCACAGTTAGTATACAGAAAACAAATACAGAGAATAAATACTTCACTGACTCCTAGTTAGGATATTTATACTTTCACTTAGAATGGGAGTGATTCAAGAGATTAGAGAACTGCAGATGTAACACCGATTTATAAAAATGGGGACATAACCTGAATGAGATACCTATTCATAGATCAGACTAATCTAAAAAATAAGGGGATCGACAGACTGAATTAGTGATAAAAGAATTACAAAATGACTTAAGACTTAAGAGTTAAACAAAGATTTAAGGCTTAATTTAAACAAAATCGTGGAGTTGGCAGACAAATGGCAAATGAAATTGACATATTTCTATATATCACTGTAAATATTGCATGGATGATCTGGAGCTGCAGGAAGCCACATCTAAAAGGGAATTAGGAGTTCATGTAGATTGTCCTCATTGTGACCATGTGGAGAAGCAATAACAAAAGCAAAGAAAATCCATGGAAGTTCTCTTACCTCTTACCTCACTTATCACAGTACAGCCTTAATATCCTTATGTTTTAGCCTTAGTTTTATAATGGAAAATCTAGTCGATCTCTAGACTCAAATCTAATTAAACATGCATTTTACGTGTCTGCAGCAAAAGCTTGGCATAGCTCCTCAACTGGTTACATAAAGAATCTGGTGAGCTCACTGGATCTCAGATGTCTTGCAGCTATGAAGTGCAACCAAATGATGACTTTTACATTCTGAAGCTTTCTAAAAGTGAATGGGTCTCAATACTTCCGGTCACCTGAAATAACCACATTGAACACAGAAACATGTTTTTGATCCGATATGATCAAATGTACGCATCTAATTATGGAAGAACTAAATTGGGACTCAACATTGATATTAATCAAATGATCTCAAATACAAACTGCCTGACTATAAAGCAAAAATAGTCGTTTTCACTTTGTGACATCAATTCTTTTGGAATGACTCTGTAGAATGTGTTAATCCAGAGAACATTTTCACACTTAGTAATACAAGGAAATAGCGTCAAAATTGGAAACTTAAAGATAATTTAAAATGGCTTACGATGGATAGCTTCTTTACACAAACAGTTGTGTGTACCTGGAACAAGATTCTCAGCCAGGCAGTTGAGGCCCAAACTCAAGGCACTTCACTTAGCTACTAAACCACCAAATGAGGAAGACAACACCATATCAATACTATCCCAGACTCTAATTCGACATGAGTGGGAGGTACTAAGAGTCATGTGAAAAAGAAAGTACACCCTCTTTTTATTCTATGGTTTTATATATCAGGACATAACAAAAATCATCTGGTCCATACCAGGTCCTAAAATTAGGTAACTCTAACCTCAGGTGACAAACAACACATAACAGATTCCACTATGTCATTATTTATTTAACAAAAAATAAGTCAACATGCAGAAGCCATGTGTGAAAAACCAAGTACACCCCTTGATTCAGTAGCTTGTAGAACCACCTTTAGCAGCAATAACTTGAAGTAATCGTTTTCTGTATGTGTTTACCAGTCTCTAACATAGCTTTTAGAGGATTTCTGGCCCACTCTTCAGTACAACACTGCTTCAGTTCATTGATGTCTGAGGTCATTCGTTTACGCACAGCTCTCTTAAGGTCCCGCCACAGCATCTCAATGGGGTTGAGGTCTGGACTTTGACTTGGCCATTCCAACACCTTGATTCTTTTCTTTTTCAGCCATTCAGTTGTAGATTTGCTGGTGTGCTTGGTATCATTGTCCTGTTGCATGAACCAATTTCGGCCAAGCTTTAGCTGTCAGACAGATGGCCTCAAATTTGTCTCTAGAATACTTTGGTATTAAGAGGAGTTCATAGTCGACTCAATGACTGCAAGATGCCCAGGTCCTGTGGCTGCAAAACTAGCCCAGATCATCACCCCTCCACCACCATGCTTGACGGTTGGTATGAGGTGTTTGTGGTGATACGCTGTGTTTGGTTTTCACCAAACGTGGCGTTGTGCATAATGACCAAACTTCTTTACTTTGGTCTCGTCTGTCCAAAGAACATTGTTCTAGAAATCTTGTGGTTTGTTCAGATGCAACTTTGCAAGCCTAAGCCTTGCTGCCATGTTAACTGTGGCCTGTAGATCCCTAGATGTAGCTCTTTCTCTGAGCATTAAACTGTCTGACCTTGGGGTGAATTTGCTAGGACGCCCACTATTGGGAAGATTGGCAACTGTTTTGAATGTTCTCCATTTGTAAATAATCATTCTTACTGTATAATGATGCGATTTCAAATTTTTGGAAATTTCCTTATAACCCTTCCCAGATTGTTGAGCAACAACATTTGTGTCTCTGAATTCATTGCTGAGGTCTTTTCTCCTTGGGATCATGTTAACACACACCTAAATGCTCCAGACCACCAAACTGCCAAACGTTCTGCTTTTATAGAGGTGGTCACACTTCCTGATGATCAACTAATCAAGCGTATTTGATTAGCAGCACCTAGCTGCTAATTACCTTCTTAATTCCTATGGAAGCAGTAAGGGTGTACTTAATTTTCCCCACATGGTTTCTGCATTTTGGTTTACTTTTTGTTGAATAAATAACGACAGTGAAATCTGCTATGTGTTGTCTGTTATCTAAGGCTAGATTTATCTAATTATAGAAGTTGGTGAGGACTAGATGATTGTTATTTATGCCCTGATATGAAAAACCATTGAATTGAAAGAGGGTGTACTTTCTTTTTGACTGTACATTATGTGACACTACTTTTTTAACAATTATCAAATGGACCAAGCTGTATAAGAACAGAGCTCCTGTTCAAACTTTTGTAAGATACAGAGTGCTTTATAGAGATCCCACTCAAACAGAATCACATTCCTTTTTTTCACTCCATAAAGCATATTCTCATGATAACAGTTAATTAAACAGACCTACTAACTTTATAGGAGCCCTGGATATGAAGTTCTTTTACAGAAACACACATTTTAAAATAATTGAATTTCTTAGGTTAATATTTGTTTTTAAACATAAAAAAGAACTGCATTATAGGTTGACCTGAAGTGGACGGTCTAATAAATCCAAATACTTATGACTACAGGAAGTTTTGTCCAGCAATGGAAAGACCTAATTTCGTATTTCAATATTTTCCCAGGTTTTGGGTATACATTATATTAATACCAGGTGAGCTGAAGATGAAAACTATGCAATCCTGTTCAGTACCAAAATGTTACTGAAATCTACTTGAAATTGAAATATATTTCAATGTTCCAAACCTACAAAAATTAAGTATGGAAAATATTTTCAAAATTTTACATGTATCATTTCCATATACCAATGGTTGCAATTAACGCTTATAGCATTAAAAAGCCTGGCAATTGTTTTATGCTTTAAGGTAAAACTGCTGGAATATTGGGATTAAATATCCCATGTTTGAACAAAAATCCCAACAACTAGTTCCAAATACAAATGGTTTTGATTCAAAATAATAACAGCAACCTTATTTTAACTGCACATCATTTTAGAGAAAAGACATTTCATGAATTTCTAGAAACAAGCCTACATGTGCCCTAAGCCTTATGAGGAGTCTTTAGCAACCCTTTTATAAACTTGAGTTTGGAAAATACCATTGATCTCTTGGGAAGATCCTCAGTATCTCATGGATCAGCGGCTGATAGCAGGCTTCCCTTTCAGCTTTCCCAGCTTCACTCCAGTCCCGCACAAACTGTTTGATAGTTGACTTCAGTTTGTCCATATCAAATGTAGAAGATGGACGTACCTTTCTCAGTTCATCCTGAGATTAAAACAAATAATGGTATTATAACACTACATTTTCTGTAGGCATTAAGTACATGCTATTTTTTTTCCTACACTACAAAAAGTGTTTCAGTTGTGTCTAATTCTAAGTTGTGTAAATATAACAATGTTAAAACATTAGTTTATGTTTGTGTATTCTAAACTACTGTTTTGTCTAGATTTGCACCCCTTTCATAGTATGTATTTTTATGGGACGCACGTTATCTTTGGAAAAAATGCTCTGAAAATCAATCATCCTGGTAGATGTTGATTGGTAGATTATTATGGGAAGAATATTTGAAATGTATATAGTATTTGAAAATCTGAAAGGCACTGTGGCACAGTGTTTATCATTGCTGTGCAGCGTTGGGGTCCTGGGTTCAATTCCCGGGGTGCTGCTATCTGCATGGAATTTGTACCGTCTCCTCATGTTTGCGATGCCAATTTTCCCAGAAGCCATTTCACCTAGCAGTATGACTTTGGACTCTGTGAGGAAAGTAAAGCGCTTGGAGGAAACCCATGTTGACACAGTGAGAACATAGAGTACAAACTCTACTTACATAGACCTCAGGTTGGGAAATGAACCCATGTGTCAAGCTCTGCGAGGCAGCAGTACTAACCACTGTGCTACTCTGCTCCGTATTACAGAAATATTAACATTACAACTGCAGCGAAATGGATATTATGTCATGGAAAACATTATGGTACCTCTGAGTTGACAAACACAAAAAGTAGGTTTAAAACCCAAATCCACATCCTAGAATAACACTATAGTTTAAGGTTATAGCTCCTTTGCTCAGAAAATGAAAATGCAACATACATCTTCTGCATAGTCCATATTTTCAAACATGTGAACACAGTTGAGCACAATGGCCTGCAACACCTCCTGGTTGATATCGATACATCTGCGGATCTTTCTGAGGTGAGGGATGAAATTTGGGAGCAGCCTCTGTTGACGATCTGGAAGGAAACGAAACTGCCGCTCTGCACGGTTCACCCTCTCATGAACATGAATCCTGAAAGGGACAAAAACGAGACATTTTACTTGATTTCTGGTAGTGCAGGAACAAAATAACATTCCATACTTTTATAATATGCTATCAGAGTTCATATGCATATTAAATTATTTCAACAGGATTTCTTGAGAAGTGCACTTAAAGTTTATTACATATTTATATGAATCATTAATATTAGAATTAATATTAGATATTCATATCTGATTAACAGGCTGGGCATTTTACGTACACAGCTTGAAAAAAATTAACTGAACCAATACAGTTTGAAACTAAAGCTTTCCAACTACCCAAACAGAAAAAAATGTCTCATCTAAATAATACAGATCTGGCGTCTATCTTTTTCAGCACATATGGTTTGAGCTTAGAGAGCAAAGCACATTCATTTCTAGTTTATTTGTCACTTGAAGTATATTTCAAGAATCTCTTAGGGTGTGAAACTGAAAATGCTTAAAAATCGTTTTCTGATATTAACAGGAGAGAAAGTGTTTTTAAATGCAGTAGAATAGTTCAGAAATCCAAGATGACAGACAGATACATTTGGGATGAGTAAAGTAAATGAGGTTATTTTTTCCCCACTCCATTCTATGTTTTGCATCTTTAAACTGAACACTACCTCTTCTTTAAAAATCTACAACAAATTCATAAGGCTACTGTCCACAGCTTATAAGGCCAGGCATTCTTTTTACTAAGAAAGCTGTACAACAAAAAAAGGGTGTGTGTACATCAAGGTATGTCACGTTTTAAATACTTAAATGTTAAAAATGGTGGTATCTCTAAACTTGTTAAAGTCATCTGCCCATGTAATATTAAATATCAAAATCCGATGAAATAAAACATTTCCCTTACTATAGGTCTAGACACGTTTTTTTCTGTCAGATTAAGTTGTGGTCAGTAATCACACGCTTTTTGAAAATACCACTTTAATCGCAAATCACTAATGAAATCTTAGGCCAGTAATAATGCAAAGGTAGAAGAAAAGTCATATCTGACACCACATTTTGTGGAAAAAAAAGTATTTTGAAAGTAATTTACATATAATTTAGGGTGCTTGCACAATATCTTACTGCCTGAGCATCAGTCACCCTTATAAAACAAGTTCCTTATCCATGGCTAGTACTGACAGAGATGATGATCTATTCCTGCATTTCTCAGCCCCACTCTATACGTTTCCAAATATCTGATAATGTCTGCATACACATTTGTATTTAATCATTATAGTTAACACTAGAATATTGCAATAGAGCAATAGCCTATTGGAATGTATTTATTTTAAATCTTATGTATTTATTCATAATGTCAAACTGTGGTTTCATTGTTTTCCAATGAAATACCCGATGGGAAGCATAGTTAACATGTAAGTGATATTATAGGATAAAATATTAATTCTTATTCCATTTTAGGTACTATACACCAACTTTTATTAGACAATAGCATTGTACTGTACAGTACTGTTTGACAGCTACAGAAAAGTACACCGCAAACTTAGTCATGTTCATAGCATTGTAAACTCGCTGACCATTTCTTACTTGTATTAGAAAAGCAAATCAAATTGGAGAAAGAAAAAAGAAATCAGTTCATTGTCCGCATGTTTTTTTTTAACTTCATCCTACATATTCCGAACAAATGGAGATCCAGGTACTTATGAAAATACCATTCGACCCATACAGCTCAAGAACCTTAATGCTGGGGTCCCATACAGCAGTTTACTGTATGTCTAAACTTCAAGCAAAGCAGACGTCTACTGCTCTACAACAGCTTGTGATGAAATGAGAACAGAAACCCCCAATTTATACCAGCGAGTAGAAGCACAAGATCACGCTTTTTAAAGGATTATGATGTATCTCGGCATTTCGCAGATTTCACTGCTGTATTATTTTTAAGTAAACACTGGTTATTTCAGCACTGAGACAGAACAATGTCTTTATTTTGCTGAAGCCTTAGTAGCAGACCTGGGAAGCTAAAGAGGCTTCAGCTTGAACTCAGCTTGACCATTTTTTTAAATTACATTAAGCGTTAAATTACGGTTTTTCCCTTTAATGAAAGGAAAACGTTTATTATATACTGCTCGAAAAAATAACTGCTTAAAGCATCCCCACCGTTCTGGAATATAGCACAAACATTGCCTAGACATAATGACTTGTTAATTTTTGTTACCTATAGTATCTAAAGGCATCTATAACTTTCCAAAAGTGCTGCCTTTCAAGTCTCTCTTCCTCCTCTGGCGTATATCTGATCCGTTCTTTATAAAAATGAGTTTCTTCTTGCTCCCCATCAGCGTTTAACTCCCGCTTTGCTTCGGCCATCACTGGGCACTGAAGGTATCAGACACAAGCAATAGAAGATGAACGTGTAACGGCAGGTCAAAAATCGATCTCAGAATAATCGCTCATATTTTCCTTTTTGAATTCAACAATATCTGCACAATAGCAAGTTAGTTTGTATATCAGAATATTGTATTAAATGCATTAGCTTTATACTAATTAGGTTGTGTAATGTAATGTGGATTCCATTTTACATCCAGGCATTTTGGGCTCAATCCTGGACTTTTTAGGCGTCTTTCTATTCATATTCATACTGCAAAGAATAATTGCAGTTGTCTCTCAGTTAATAACAGTTGTTTCTCCTCATCATGATGTAAAGAAAACACCAACTGAAAGGATTGAAGTAACACGATGAACAGACTGTTTAATTGTTGCCATCTTGTCAGCTCTCAAACTTATCGGAGGATACATCGACATCTTTACAGTTTTTCTGCAGTGACAAGTTAAAAAAATACACTACACTGCACTCCGCGACAACGTGTGGAACCACCAGTGATCGTAAAAGGAACGTAATGTAACAAATTAGATGATTCTTTATATGAGTAAGTTGTTGGTTGGGGTACGTTGGTGAATTATAAAGTTCCACTAGTATTTGCATTAATGTTTAACTGCATTTTTCTTCTATTTTTTATAATATACCAGAAGAAGACTAAGTCTTAAAACATTTTACAGCAGCAACAAAATGTAACACACATATCATTGCTCTCCCATCTGGATTTTTATTGACTTAAACTTTGTCTTTTAGTAATACAGTGACACTTTTTTGCAGGTAATAGTTTCGTTTTAAGATTTTTCATATATATAACCGATTTGTTTTACTTATGACCTAAGTAGAAAATCTTGTCACAATCAGAAACGGTTTACATGGTATTACAAGAGACAGGTGAGTTAATACACATAGTTTTCGGTTAAATGGTATCTTCAGCAGCTTCTGTCCTCTATTTTCCTGTAGGATTGACAATTTTCCCCATGAAAAGTATGCTCCTGGTTTCATGATTACTGATTACAAAATGGAAAGGACGGTTGAATGTCAATGTCAAGGGTGGAGGAAACAAGCTGGATCCAAGCAGGATTTGAATACCAGTCCCTGCAGTTGCAGACGTTCCTACTTCATCCACATCTAGTGTTGCCTTGTGATCAACCTTAAAAATATCAAACAACAAGCATGTCATTTCACTAAGACTGGGAATAGAAAGCATACAGTATGGCATTCTCAGCTTACATTAAAATATTTCTGAAATGGTTAAAAATGTTCTAGAAACTGAATTGCTGGTGGCAGCAAGATTATAATGCACACACTAATATTTGCGATGACATAGGCATAGATTTTAAATAACTGTGATATCACAGGTGCATGACATAATATTATGTAATATTAAAAATATACCTTTTATGTTTTATATAAAACACACTATATATAGGAACAAGTAATAGGTTTATTCCATGATTGAAAAGAGAAGAAAACACAAAGTTTCGACCGTGGAGCCTTCTTCAGGTGAGAGCACTGTGAACACTATATATAAATATTATATATAAATGGAAGACTTTTCCTAAGAAAGATACTGTACATGTGCTTTATGCTTTAAAACTAACTGGTAGCAGCTAAGCTGCATTTTCTTCTCTTGTTTGTAATCTGTTCCGTATTCATAGTTATTCAATAGTTATTACCATATTGCTATAGCTTACTGTAGGTCATGCCATTTCATAAAAACATAAGTGGTTTAGTATCCAGTATTTGAGTTCAATTAAAAATACCAGATTGATAATCTGGTATTAGTTGAAAAAACTTGATTTTAATTGACACAAGAACAGTGAAAGATAAAACCTGGTCCTGTTTCGTAAAGAAATCAGATTCTTCCCTTTCTATCAAGACAAAGATTGCCTGTTTGTCAGAGAAGTTGCTAGTGGAGAATGACACATTTTACTTTAACAATCAAAAGACTAGTTCAGACAAACCAGGAAATCTGCACTGTGAGGGACTGGCTACATAAAGAGTTAATCATGAACCTATGACCGTTACATCAGTATGTGAATTTCTTTTCAGTTTGCAGTGGCTACAGTGATTGTATTATAATTTGAAATAACCGAAGCATTTGCAAACTGTAGCTCAGCATCTACTTGAAAACGATCAGGAACCGTTCAGAGTAAGCTGGTTGTAGGTTTCGAGATGAAGTCCCCATTTGCTGTGGGCCAGAGGACACTTGAGGTGGCAGCAGAGAGAGTGGTTGGGGTGTTTTACTCACTGAATACCACTTTGCACTTGACAGACCTGACAGAATATAACATGTGAGAAAATATTGTGGTAAGTGTTGTAGTGAATGTTGTTTGTTCTTCCCTTGTTCCTGTGGGTTTCCTCCCATATTCCAAACATATACCGATTAGATTAATAGGCTTCTGGAAAGTTGGTCCTAGACAAGTGAGGATGTATGTGCCCTGCAATGGATAGGTGACCTGTCCAAGGTGTACCCCACCTTGTACCTGTTGCCTGCCGGGATGGGCTTTGGCTCAGATAAATCAGATAAAAAACAGATAAATCGATGTCGAATACAAACCCCTTCCTGTGTAATGCTATCAGAACACCCCTCTCCCAAATTGGTGAGCCAGGGTGTTATGGAGATACAGTATGACTTATATGCTCTTGGTATCAATGAGTGTGTCAAATGGATACTGTGTGCTTTTTATTCTATTTTCCACTTAAGAAAACGTTTAATTAAAATTCATTAATGTACCTTACCTTTGAGACAAATACATTGTCCTTTGAAATTCCGGAAAGGTCTGCACTTCGTTCAAACATGTCCTTCATTCCCATTTCAGACAAGATATCCTTCAGTGAATAGGACGTTGAAAGAGAAAACTTGGGCAAACTCAATGACACTCGTCTACAAAAGTAAAGAAAATGTTAGTGTAAATGCAATCCATTCATCCCACAACCATTTGTCTTCTTTTACATATATCTATATAGTATATTAATTCTGAAGGTTCCCCTTTACAACACATAAACCATAAGAATCCTTTATTTATTATATTGTGTCTGTATACAAATATTTACAGTATCTGTTAAATATTTATCTGATAGGAAAATCAATTGTACATTTCTGAATTTTTATGTGAGAGTTGCCTGAAGTTTATTTGGTGGTATCAAAGGCTCACATACAGAATAGGACTCAGTAAATGATATGTATTTTATGGAACTTTTTGTGTGTCATAATTTAGTGATACTTTGAATATTATAATGGTTTCTGTAACTGGACCAAACCACAAACTTGTGGCTTTTTATATTCTGAATTATATATGGTAAGTCTGTCTCCACTATAGTTTTGCATTCTACTAATCTCTTGTTTTACGCCCTAGCAAGGTAAACTTTAAGTGAACTCCATACAGCATTCAATATGTTTATTAATATCAGTATATTTCATTCTTCATTCTGTACTTTGAATTGTTATGGTGGTGTGTTCAGGGCCATTATTTTAATGAAAATAAACTCACCAATCACGTCCCCGTCCTGTGGACACTGCATTACAAGAACATGCTTTGATATTATATGTTTAAAACTGTGTAGTCCTTTTTTTTATTCCTCTTTGTGGACTAGCTAAATAACCCCCATCTTCATCTGATCAATTTCATGTAAATACCACCTACTGCTTTTTCGCTGATCTGTGCCATTTCCTCAGATGCTCTCTGCACCAAGACTCCTCCAAGTCCTTAACTTCTCTCTCAGGCAGGAGGAGAATCATTGAGACTCCTCCTTTGTAGCCAAGTCTCAGGACATGAGTGGAAGACTCTTTGTCATGATAAACATCAAATGAGCCATCTTTATGCATCATCTGAATTGGAACAGTTGTATTATCATCAACATGAAAGATATCTTGACTTGTGTCCCTCGGATCAAAGGGAATTTCCCATTTACCTATAAAATAAAAGTATAAGTTTAGATTTAAATGAATTGATCCTATTATAATACGAAATAAACTTTTATACAGGTAAAAAATAAGGTTGATACAACACATTGATACAATCCATTTTTTAAGCAAATAAAATAAAACTCAAGAGGAAATTAACATTCTAATACCATTGATTTCACTAAGTATGGTTACATGAAAAAGCGTTTAAGAAATTCATCACAACAAATCAGTAAATATTTCAATATTCTATACACTTACAGTATTCAAAAGTACATTGTGTCCGTGTATCTATACAGCACTTCACATTAATACTAACAGCTCTGTACAAAAAGGACATTTAAAAAGATAAATTAGTTTTATAACTTGGTGAAATAACAAAAAATAATTGTTGTATTGGACAATAGTTACTGGGCATTTCAGAACAAAAGTCTGTCTTCAACTGTGTAGACAGAAAAGTAAGCAGTAAGAAAGTCAGGTTTTGCCAGATACTAAGTAGTTCTTTTGGTTTTATTCTTGTATTGTTAAGTATTGAAGATACCTTGAGGCACTGAAGTGTTGAAGAACTTTGAGAAAAAAAAGAGCAACAAGGCTATTAGTCATAAAACAAATTGAGTTTTGAATTGCACTCAATCCTTTCACTTGACATCTTACCTTTGAAAAATATGGAGCTGACAAGGAACATTACCATATCCTGATTCAGGTCATCTATGAAATGTGGGATTTTGCCATGAGTTTTATCTTCAACATATTTATTAATCAAATGCAGCGCTGCAGTTTTGTTGGTAAAGTCAACAGTGAATCCTTCTGAGTGGTAATATTGTTTAATGTCCTCCAGAAAAGTTTGAAGTGGTTTAAAACCCTCACGGATGAACACTGCATTTCCAACAGACAGGTCCACATCTTTCTTCCGACTGAGACTTTGGAGGATTTTTTCAAAGGCTTCATTCACTTTTTCTTCAGTGATGTGAGTTTCATTGAAACCGAGACCTCGGAACAGCTCATCATGCGTCTTGCCCTTTGCACCCAACGACAGCATAGCAAGGGCAGTGGAGATGCTCAGGGGAGAGAAGATGATGTTTTTAGATTTTGCATCTGGCTGTGCAGCAATGTGTTTATACAAGCTGAAACCAAATTCGGTAATTGCAGGTTGTACGTCTAAACTGCAATCGTGGTGGTGCCCATGACCATGGTGATGCCCGCGTCCCTCGTGATGACCATGACCATGACCATGACCATGGCGATTCCCGCGTCCTTGGTGATGCCCATGACCTTGGTGATGTCCATGGCCTTGGTGATGCTCACATTCTTGATGATGCCCTTGGCCATTAGAATGATCACCATCATTGTGAGAATGATCTTCCAGGATTTTACCCTGGACAACAAAGCAGAGCAAAGCTGCTGTGATGCAGAAACAAGTCACCTTCCCCATCTTCGTAGTTATTGTTCTTTAATGACCTGTTATTGAAAAAAAAACAACATATACTGTATAACTTGGTAAAAATACATACTGAAAATAGTGAAGATGAATAAGTATTGAGACAGTAAAATCTGATTCTAAAATAAGTTTATTATTTTGCGAACATACTGTACTTTGATTGTCCTTGTGTGCTATCTCTTAAGTGAATGTATCTTGGAAAACCTGGTACTTTAAACTGCTACTGTAACACTATTATACCAGGTTTATTTTGAAGACCTTATATTATTTATTATGAATAAATGTATTATGAATATTGTAATTGTGAACACAGATCATTTTTGGATCTGTGTTAGTACTAACTATTAACGCTTTTGATATACAATGATTAGAAAAAGTATTTTAAAAAGTCTTATGATGTCCATTTTGGTTAAATTACAAAATTATACAGTACATACACATTTGTAAATTTAATATGCAAAACCCCAATGCTCAAACAAAAGACTTTTAAAGGTAATATATGTTACAGTAAATGTTTGCCAAAACTAAAGTGAAAAAAATGAAATATGTTAATAATATCAGTATTCAGACCTGTAAAGTCTTTCTAAGTAAATCTCAATCAGTTTTGCTGACTGATTTGGTAGAAATTTTTGACTGTCCCTTTTTTCAAATTTGCTCAGACTCTCAAAAGTTGCTTGAGTATTTCTTAGGGACTCCAGTATTTAAGAGCCTTTCCACAGGATATCAGTAAGATTCAAGTCAGGACTTACGTGATTTTTTTGTAGAGCAATATGAGATGGGATTTGCATTTTACCATAGAGGCGAGCCTTCTGCAGTCACTGGGATATTGCTGGCCAATGTATAGTATTTGTCTCCAAAGCAGTTCTTTCAAATTGGTCAGACAAACGTTTTTTCTTTGGTAATTTCTTTTGAATCAACGTTTAATTAATATTCATATATTTGATACATATAAAATGCTCTGAATACTCTACATGCTCATCCATGTTGATTTTCAATATTAAGTACTGTATTAATGCACTGTTAAAAATCTAAAATGGCAATTCCATTATATTTCATATTGTTGGAGTGCTGGGCAAATATAAGTTTTTCATGAGAGAATTGCATATGTAATGAATTTCATTTTAATTTTCTTCATTTCACAAAAAATCCCTCCTCTGTTTTTTTTGTTTCATTTTTATCATGTTTAAAATAGCAGAAAAAGGAAAAAAGGTTTTTGGAGTATTTTTTTTTATTTTTAAATGTATTTTTCCGGTCTCTCAGGTGATGTTATCAAGGTGTTTTGCATCTTTACTCCTCAGTTTGCGTATGCATTCATGAGGAGAGGTATGTTAAGTTCATGACCTCCAATTCATGAATTGATAAAATATTAAAAGTGTAGCATAAGAGTTACAAAAACGATGTAATGTAAGATGGCAGAATATGTATACACATTCAAGGTGCAGTTTTGATTTACATTTCTATCATGAATAAGGGGTTATATGGAGCGAATGCAATGTGTGGTTGTCGGTTTATTGTTAAGCCTGTGAAGCGGAAATTTAAATTTTCCCCCTTTTTGCTTTCGGGGTGTACAGAGTGGGTGCAGGCGGAGCTGAACCAGTTTCTTTTATTTACTGCATTGCAATCCTCCTTCATTCAGAGCGCACTTGTGAAGAGAGCAAATAAACCTACTCAAACCGGCAGACTGTCTATGGATCGCATTTATATTTCTACACTACACCTAACAGAGTCATAGCCGTAATCGAAATAAAAACAGTAGGACCCACATTTTGTCCCAGATAAGATTTTGCACACAAGAAAGGATGCACAGTTAAATTTAGCACTTACCGTGTTTGCCTGCGTTGTGGTGCATGTGTGTTTCATGGGGGTCTTATCTAAATTTATACATCTCTCGGGAGTTCATTGTTTACTTATAGCAGTCATCAACCTCTAGTCTAAACCCTTCACTATCAAACAATCCCCAGCCGATATTTGCGAACTTTAACAAAGTTTAAAATGCGAGCATTCTGTAAACAGTTCATATCGCTAGAAAAAGGGGTTACGAAAATAGTGAAGTAATAAAAAATTAGCGAGCGGGTTAATCAGTAGATAAAATAAATCATTATAACCCCGAACTTGTAAAGATTTTGGCAAGAAAATACCCGAGCAGTAATTTTGAGTGTCTTGTTCTCTGGCACAACTTTGGTGAAAACAGCAATGGTTTACAATACAACGTGTTAAACAAATATGAATTAATATTGACAATGCATACATTAAACTAGGTTAAAGGTGTGAGCCTGGCCAGTACCTGAATGGAAGAGCTTCTTGGAAAATTTGCTGCTGTAAGAGGTGTTAGTGGGGCCAGTAGGGGGCGCTCCCTCTGCAGTCTGTGTAGGTCCTAATGCCTCAGTATAGTGACGGGGACGTAAAACCGAGGTCTTGACTCTCCGTGGTAATCCCAGGGTGTTTCTCAAAAAGAGTAGGGGTGTAACCCCGGTATTCTGGGCAAATATTCCCTTGGGTTTTACTAACCATGGCCACATGTACGAATTGACTTCATTTTTATGTTCCCCACTGTTGCATTATCCAGTTGGGTACTACACATTGGTGGTGGTGGATAGGAGTCCCCATTACCTATAAAACTTGGAATGGAGTGTTCAGAAAAGTGCTATATAAGTCTGATTAATTATTATTATTAATATAAATATTATATTAATATTATTGTAGCGCCCGGCTTGGGTACACGGCGAGGGGCAGGACGGGAGTAGTCGTGGTCAGGGCGGGGACTAGGAAAGCCACTGACCAGTGCAGCTGACCAATTGTAAAACGGGTTGCACAGAGTAAATAGTTCCCTGGTTTCGCACCCCTTTTGTACTCGTACTACATTGCCACCCTATTTCTGTGTAACTGTAACCGTATAGACCACAGTGTGTCGTACCACAGTGTGACCACAGTGTGTCGCGCTCTGTCGTTTTCTGGCTCTCTCTTTTTCTCTCTGCGCGCGCGCGCGCGAGCTGTGTTTTGTGCTTGCTGGGCCGGACGCTCGTCCGAAAAATAAAAGCGCTGTTTCTCATTCAAACGAGAGTCTGAATCACAGTGTCAGTCCTTGCCGAATACGAAAACGTTGCATTATTAGAGTATTTTAACTTTATTTTTTGTTTCCATTATTACTATAGATACAAAATATATTAATTCTCAATGTTTTGGAAATCTGGAAGGTTATGAGCATAGATTCACAACTGTACTGATTGAGTACTGAAGGTATTTGGAGTACAAAGGCGATCTGTTTTAGGACAAACCACTCATTCAAAATCACCAAATGATTTACTGTAGATTGTGTCATAATAATTCTATGAGATTACCGAAAGGTTCATGGATTCACCACTGTGCAAAAGAGTATTATTTTTATTCAGCAAAAGACAAGAAAGGCAGATACATATCCAGTTATTTTTAATCAACATATTACAAAAAAGCTTGAATAAGTCCATATCTAGTAAAAATAGAAGTCAAAATTGTAGATATTGGGAATGAAAATAAGCCTGAAAGTTAGTTATATACAGTATAAGCAAATCTCAAAATCAATATGGAATTGACTCCAGGTACCTTAGAGGGACAAACATTACTTTTTGTTCTGACAGTCCATGCTTGCTTTGACCTGTCAGGTCCAAACTTCTGTCATTGAACTTAAGATTCAGTCGTTTGCACTTTTAAACATCTTAGTAAAAACAAATACTAAAATTGGTTTATCAGTAGTTTTGGGCAACTCTTATCCTCTATTTTTCAGCAGGATTGACAATTTTTCCCATGAAAAATATACTGTTGTTTTCATGATTACTGATTATGAAAAGGAAAGGACGATTGAAAGTCAAGCTTGGAGGTAAACTGAATGGAACAAGTTTTACACCAGTGACTCCAGTTGCTGTAGTTCCTAATTCATCCACATCTAGTGTTGCCTTGTGGACAACCTGAAAAATATTTAATAGGCATGTTATTTCACAAACATTAAGAACAGAAAAAATCCAGTATTGCATTCCAAATTTAAATTAAAATAATGAAATACCTGGAATATATGCTGCATTAATGCCAAACTTCAAAACAGTACAATGTGCACTATTTTATTTTGTATATATAAACAATAATTGGCATTATTTTAATATTAAAAACACATAATACTTCATATCAAAACAGATGGTGACTCTATGAACATTTTTTTTTTTACTTTAAGTCTAACACTAACGTGTTGGAATCATTAATCAAAATAACTGAATGGCCCTTTACAATATTGCAGAAATGTTAATAACCAAAAACATTCATGTGTACTCATTAAGAATGAAACACAACAGCCCGAAGTGTACATTGATAACTATTTTGGTCTATTAATAATATTATTCATCTAGTGAGTAGGTAGCTTTGTTGAGAAATATTGTTACTTGGAAAAGCACATGTTAATTAATTTTAAAAAACACTAGGTGCTCAGTATTTGGTATATTAGACTAGTTAAAAATACCTGAATGTGGTGAATAATATTGAATATTAATATTCAGTTAAAATTACATGATGTTATGTCTGATGTTTAATTCCTGCAAGAGCAGCAAAAGATAGGATTGTGCCCTGCATGATAAATGAAGTCCCCCTCCCGTGCTGTCAAAGCAAGGGCAACCTTTGTAGGCAGTGGAAAAGGACACTTACTGCTTTAACAATCAGTAGACTAGCCCAGAGAAACCAGAAAACATATTCTGTGAGGGACTGACCATAAAATCAGTTACCCCACCAGCCCATTGAATGTGTGAAAAAAAGTTCAACCCAATGGGACAAAATGAATCAGTTTGTACAGAAAACTATCCTCATGTATGTTAAATCACGTTAGTGTGATATACAGTATACTGTATACTGTACAGTACAGTATATAAACAGATTTTGCTTATATACTGTAACAAACATCTGACTTTCATAAAACCTATTTTTGTTCAAATTAGTCTGTAGTTATTACATTAAAAAGAATAAAGAAGGCAGAATTTGATTTTTTTCAATAAAATGTCAAACCTGCCAGTAGTAAAACAAAGAGATTTCATATCTGATCATGCGAGTATGCCTGGTTAAAATGAGTATCCTGAAACAATGAGTTCAGGAATTCTATAATCATAATACTTGTATTTAGCTATATTTAGCTATAGTAACTTTAAGTGTGGATAGTCAGGGTTTGATTTCATCCCAAATTTGTATTTAAAGTTTCATTTAAAAAGTGCATACTGAAACAGTGGAATGCTGCCTGTTCTACACATTTTAGTTTGTGCTATTGATGAATGCAACAGATGCACTTTGGGTGTTTTCAATTATATTTCCCATGCTTTACCTTTGAGACATACACATTTTCCTTTGTTAATCCTGAAAAGTTTGCAGTTTGACCAAACATGTCCTTCATTCCCATTTCTGACAGGACTTCCTGCAGCGAATAGGACGTTTTAACTGAAAACTTGGGCACTCTCACTATATATCGTCTACAAAAGTAAAGAAGTGTTAGTGTTAATGATCACTGTACACCTTGTTCACCCCACAACAACGAATCATAATATTTGCTTTATTTATTACTTATACCTATGAGAGAATACTAAAGATTTAATAACAAAAGTATTAACTTATTCTCAGTGCCTACATACTGTAAAATAGTTGTAAACTTATAACTTTTGTTTCTGAATTTTGAGATTTTTAGAAAATTGGGTGTACTTAGGCCTACATATTGTTTCATCAAAACAAAATTTTTCCCAGCTGTAATGTTATTAATTCAATGGTTTAACTCAAAAGGTAGGATTTTAACACATTGTACAGTAGGTAATTATTTTCATAAAAACGATGTTTTATTTAACAACATATGTCTTACTTTAGAGACAAAAATGTAACTATTGTCTTGTGCTGGACCAGACCACCAACTTACACTTTATGCCTGTTTTTTTGGGGGGGGAATTAGTCTATCTGTGACTATTTTAATCAAAATATGAATGTTCAAAGTGAACACTTTCAAGACTGAGAATGTTAAATGTCAGTAAAAAGGGTAAACAAAAATGAAAAGTAATATTCTGTATTTTGACTCCATCCCAATTCAGATCTCTAAGTCCGGACTTCATTAAAGCAATTTTGGCATCCAGCTTTTTAAAATATCTAGGATGTAATTGCAGCGTGCCAGCAGCCATGTCACCCTGCAACTCACAACTGACAACCCACTGAAGCTAAGCAGGTGTGAACCTGGTCAGTACCTGGATGGGAGACCTCCTGGGAAAAACTAAGGTTGCTGCTGGAAGAGGTGTTAGTG